AAATTTTTTCCCTTGCTGAGGATGGTCTAGAGTGTGATGGAGTCATTTTCATTTTTTCTTTTTGAGACGGAGTTTCGCTCTTGTTACCCAGGCTGGAGTGCAATGGTGCAATCTCGGCTCACCACAACCTCCGCCTCCTGGTTTCAGGCAACTCTCCTGCCTCAGCCTCCTGAGGATGGAGTCATTTTCAAAGTGTCCAATAGTTTGAATAATGGCAGCATTGTGGGGAAAAACAGTGTTCCCAGAGGATTTGAAAGAGGACCAAACTTATTTAAAAGTAACAGTATTTTTAAAAACTAATCATATAACTCTGACCTCCCTTATAAAATTTAATGCAACAATATATAAATCAACTCTGAATGTCTGTTTCTAGCGTATTTTAGATCTCAGGTCATCTTCCAGCATGGGAACGCACATTTTCCTTTTAAAGTGCTCAGATTTTCATTTGCCCAGAGCTGCAATGAGTGATTTGTGGTTACAGTGTTTTGCCTACAGTGTGGAATGAGGTTTTCACTTAGGCATCTCAAAAGCCCAGCAATCACTTTAAGTCATTCCTTTAGTAGACAACCGATGGCTTACTTTTCAAACTTATATTTTTACAGACTTTTTTTTCAGTTAACTTACTATTTGCTGAATATTTTTTAAAACATTGCATTTCATTCATGGTATGATAAAACTAAAATTAAAATAATTATGCTAACACTCTCAAAAACATAAAAATAGGCCAATTTTAGTAAAAGGTACCCGTTATTCCCAAGCTTAGGGATTGCTTTAAATTTTTTACAATCGCAGTTTGCTTCTTCAATGAAATACTTAAAAAAAATTATTACTTCTGGATGCAATGGCTCATGCCTATAATTCCAGTACTTTGGTAGGCTGAGGCAGGAAGATCACTTGAAGCCAGGAGTTCAAGACCAGCCTGGGCAACAAAGGGAGATCCTGTTGCTACAAAAAAATTTAAGCACCACCCACACAAAAAAGACTAAAAATCAAATGATTCCGCTTCAGGATTGTATTTCAAAATGTTCTCATTAAAAATATTCCATAACCAAAAATAAAAGTTGAGATGATACAAAGGTAAATGTCAATTATTTTTGTGAAGTTGACAATATGGTGTAATATTTTTGGCAGAGCAATACCACCAGTTAGACCTGCTGTTGACATTGAGGGTCACCCTCATTCCCAGAAATCCATCATCAACAGCTTAGGAGGCTTAGGACATTTTGCAAGATCTTACTTTGCTTCAGTTTAGAAATCTGGTAAGAAACCTACCTTCTGTATGCAAAGAGCCTTGGACCAGGAGCTTCGTGGTCCAGATGGAAGCAAGAAGCAACAGCAGGCTGAAGCACCTGGCCATCGTGCCTACCATGCCTTCAGAGTCAGGGAAGCACCTCAGATGGCCACCAGTGGTATGAGAGGCAGATGCTCAATCACTAGTCTGGATGGAGAGTTCTGGAACTATGTTGAGGCTCTCACTCACTGCTCCACTTCATAACTGAGACATCCGGATTTCCCTGCTTTCAAGCTTCTGACTTGTCAAGGTCACTGGGGGAAATGAGTGACGTCTCTTGAACGCCCAGGCTGTACTTTGTGGATGGCCCTCTGGAAAATTTAGCTAATGCTGACTCAGAAAACACACAAATGAGGAAGGCAGATAGCACAATGTGAACTGCTAAAGGTTCTCCCAATTCCCGTATTCTCTGCCATTCCCCCTCCCCCAGCAGCTCAGTTCTCACACCATTCACTGCTTTTGCCTGTGGAGTCCATCATTTATGCATACCTAGAAATGTCTTTGTCCCCAAAGGAGACTGAGTATAGGTTGTGCCTCTTTTCCTCCCACAATCAGCGATTTTTCCACCCAGCTGCTTGGCCTTGTGATCTGCAGGGTATGAAGCTGAAGCTCATGGAAGTAAATGTCCATTTAAACACGGAGTCTAGAACCTTCATGCCTTCCTTCGCATCCCTTTTATGCATTTGAAATCTCTACACCACTACAGTGATTTATCTTTCAAAGAAACTAGGCACATATAAACATTCACATTTACATAACACACCTAGGAGGGCAATTAACAAAATTAAACATTTTACACTTTACACAAGGATTTTTAACTTTACGACAGTAATCATTCCGGGGGTCCTTTATAAAATAACTTTCTCTTAATAACTTCTTTAATATTCTGATAGGCCAGAATTCAGTTCACGCTCCACCTTTCTTGTTCGATGAATGTGAGGTTTATCTGTTTTTCCTCAGCAGCGTGCACTCTATGTTTTTCCAGCTGGCTATTCAGGGGCGTGTGCTTCATGGTCATTATGGAGTTCTGCCTTGTGAGCAATGTCTTGAGCGAAGGCTTATGAGATTTTTCTAAAATGAATGTCTTTTATAGGAAAAATATATGGATAACAAGTGGTTTTTGTTTTTTTTACATAAGTAGTACTGGTCATAAAGTTAGATGTCTGTGTAGAAAATATCAATAACAAAAAGAGAATCTGCTCTGAACAAATGCAGGGAACTTCTAAGAGACCAGGGAAACAGCCTTTACATGTCTCCAATATAGACCTCATTACTAGGGTGAGACAAGCCCTAGTTCCTCAGAAACATTCATGACTCTATCATCAAGGTACCAGGAAGACAGACAGGCAGAGTCCCAGCCTCGTCATCATTATTCTTAAAGACTAACACCATGGCTGAAAGAGAGCTAGTTTTCTAGCATTTGTTCAATTATTACAAAAAGAGTGAAGGAAGACAGGAAGGGGAAAAACGAATCATGAAAGGCAAGGCCTTGTGTAAAGGGGGAAAACGAGAGTCACAGCGATCACCAGCCATAGAATTTCTGGAATACCAACAAAGAGACCTTCGAAAGGCTGCTGTACCAGCTCTCTATTGCTGTCCAACAAATTGCCATAGACGTAGTGGCTTAAAACAGTACTCATTGATCATTTCACAGCTTCTTGATTTGATTCTGATCTGCTTTCTCAGAGAGACTCTCACATCCCCTGTTTTCTGTGACCCTTTGTATCCCTTTGGGAGACTCATTTGTATATAACCTTCCTTGTCCACATTTGAAGTGGATAGTAGGGAGTATGCCCTCCTTGGGACTAGCACAGCTTTTGCAGTCTGCTTCCTGCAGGTGAAAGCTAAGATCCCAGAAGTTTTCTTATTTTTTTAAAAGTTGTCTTTAATCAACATGTAATTCTCCACATGTACATTATGATATTTCCATACATACAAGGTGTAGTGATCAGATCAGGGTAATTAGCATATCCATCATCTCAAATATTTATCCTTTGTGTTGGGAGTGTTCAGTATCTTCTCTTCCAGCTATTTGAAAATATATGTGGTTGTTATCTATAGTCATTCTATGTGCCATAAAACACCACAACTTGTTCCTCCTAACAATATATCCTTTAACAAATCTCACTCTTTCCCTTCTCTCTTCCCTTTCCAGACACTAGTATCCTCTACTCTGTTTTTTACTTCCATGAGATCTTTTGTTAGCTTCCACGAATTGGAACATGTGGTGTTAATGTTCTGTTCATGACTTATTTTACTTCACATAATGGCCTCCAGTTCAACCTATGTTGCTGTGAATGACAGGATTTCATTTTTTATGGCTGAATACTATTCCATTGTGTATGTACAGCACATTTTCTTTATCACTCATCTGTTGTTGGACACATGTTAATACCATATCTTGGCGATTGTGAACAGTGCTGCAATAAACGTGAAGGTGCAGGTATCTCTTAGACATATTTTCTTTCCTCCCAAAAGCTGTTTCCTCACTTGAACAACCAAAGGGGTTTTTAGTCCTGGCTTGTGTTTCTTTGTAAATTCCATGTGCCAATAATCATACCCCAACTCCTTTCCCAGTCATAATTTTCAAGAATTATTTCTTGTTTCTCAACACCATACCCCTCCAATTTAGTGGTCAACACACCAAGTTCATTTTAACTCAAAGGAAAGGGCCACATCGTTAACCGCACCTTTGCCATAAGGCTGAGTGGATCTGTTCAATTGAGAAATTGTATTGGCTCCCACTCGAAGCTCTTTTTAGTCTGCCTGGGATTTAGAAGTGGTCAGGTTTTCTCACCCTTCAGTCTTTCACATTTCTGAATACTCGATATTCGTTTTCATTTCTGCTCCCACATAGCCAATTCTTTCTCTGGCAATAACTTGCCAAAGGTAGCCAAGAGAAGTTTGCATACTCCAACACTGATTCTTTTCACCATTTCTAAAACTATAGGCTAACCATGAGATGCTTTCCAAGTTATCACAGGTAAGACTTTTCCAAACACGTTCTATTCATGACATGTGCCACCATCTTTCTAGCAATTTTGTTTCTTGCCATGTAACTGGTAAGCCAGAACCTCATATTTTGAAATTTTGCTATTAAAGTACCCAATTTCTAGTTCAAATGTATGCATTAGTAGGGGGTAGGCTAACAGCTATAAACATTCTGGAATCTATGTGGCTTAATACACTAAAATCTTCTTATTCATGTCACAGTTCAATATTGGGAGTGCCCATTCAAAGACCCAGCATCCATCTAGTGGTTCTGCCATTTTCTTGGGTCTCAGTGTTCTCATCTGAATCCTTTGGCTTTGGTTGGCAGAGAAGGGAGTAAAAAGGGTATGAAGTATTGGGCAGAAGAGTTTATTTTTAGGGAACAAGACCTGGAAAGTGCTGCAGTTAACTGTAAGAAATACCCAAAAATTGTTGAGCTGTGGAAATTGGGTTGGTAAAAACCCAGCAGACTCAATCACAGCAAAATGTGTTCATTAAAAAAATCATAGACCAGGAAGATACAGGAAACTAGGATCAGGAATGGGGAAGGGGAAGAGAAGGAGGAACTGATCTAGCCCCTGTGAGGTATCTCATAGTTCAACGACCAAGGTTGGGGACCTCTGACTTGGTTCTGGGATGCACTAATATATCCAAAGGCATCAAATTCCAAAGATTTTAACTCAACTCCATAAAATGAGGAGGCATTTGGCTGCTGCCAGAGGTTTGGAAATGTGCTTTTATTTTCAAACTCAGGTATGTGACACTCTACAGTTCAATGCTAGCACACCTGTGTGAGGCTTAACAACATGAGGAACTGACAGCCAGTGATATACAAATCCAGCACTCCCTTTCCATTTACCCTATCAGGCTGTACATGGGAGCAACACATATGGCTTTGTGGTAGCCAGAAAGTGAAGGTCTTTTTAGGAGGTGACGTCAACAATGACACAAACACATCACTCTGCAACTGAAGGCAGGGAACCAGACTCCTAGGGCTAAGCAGAGATGTGAGACTTCAGAGGCATTTGGGGGACTTTTCTTTCAGATTCACATCGTCATTGGAAATCCAGGGCCTGTTCTCTCCAGTTCACTACCGCTTGGGCAGCAACTCCCACTGCTCCAGGTTGGTCTTTGCTTTCCAGAAAAGTTAGACCCATGAGTACTTTTTCAGCTATGCCCTTGTACATGTGGCTACTCTTATGCTCCCTTTTGGAGACGCCCTTTTCCTTGACCTCCCTTGCTTACAAATGGAGTAGGGTGTGAGAGAGCCTGTGCCTGGTAGTACTCTTGCAGGCTTTTCTGTGGGGCAGCTGAAGGTGCAGGAGTTCTCTACACCTGCTTTCGTGGCCTTTGACTCATCCAGAAATGAAGGCAGGAAACTTGTGACCAAGTGAACAATGGGTCAGCTGAGCCTGGCCCTTCTTTAAGGGAGGCAGAGATTGAACATTCCCCACCTGGAGTCCTGCTTCCACGGCCACTCTCTGGAACTCCATTTGCATCCTGTCTTTGGCTCTGAGGGCCTCATGTAGCTAAAGCTCCTTCAGTTTTATCCAGAACCCCTGGAAGAGCTGGACAAACCATCCACTCATGGCCCCAAAGTCTCTCTGCCCTGCTCTGTAACTCTTTACCTTAATGGCACATCCTTGATCAACCCTGGCTTGGGCCTCTCTCAGTCATTTTCTAGCTACTGTAAAGGATGCCCCTTCAATAAACATGCTGTTTTAAAGTGGGGCATGCTTGGGGTGAGGGGGGGGTCTCTCTGAAGGTTTGACTGTATGGAGCCTAGTCCTTGAGCTTGGAAATGGTGTTGCTAGTCTGGTCTCATTCCTGCTCTCTCACAGAGGAGACTGAGAAACAGAATAAGCTGAGGTTAAGAAAGATGTTGCTTTTGGCATTGTGATGTGGTGATGGTGCTGGTACTGGGAAGCATGTAGTATGTCAGCTGTCCCCAGGTGCTCTCCACCACCTTGAATGTTTGCTTGTTCTTTTAACCAACATTTAATTACACCCTCCCAAGCGTCAGCCACCATGCTAGCACTTACCCAAGAGATGGGTAAGACATGGTTCTTGTCTTTGAGGAAAAATGCTAGCGGAGACAGATACATAAATAGGCTGTGATATATTATAGGTAAAGGTCAATAATAAAAATGTTTAAAAAGTGCCAGAAAACACAGAGGAAGGTGTGACCTATTATGCTGTGTCTGGTGAGGAGTATGGAAGGAAGGTCATCAAAGCTGGTGGAGGGATAATTTTTGTACTTGGTCAAGAAGAGTGACCTAAAGAAAAGGGAAGAACAGCTGGCGAAAAACCAGTGAGTGAAGGCCCAGAGCTACGAGAGAAACTTTAGTTTGGGAGCCAGAGATGGAGCTGATGAGCCGCTTGGGGGAGTGAGACTGGAATGTGAGGCTTCCAGCTAGGAGACCATCGAAGAGTCAAGGACAGCACAGCTCTGGGGCCAGTCTACCCTGGGGTTGAGTTCCAGCCCCATGATTTACTAGCTGGGTGCGCTTGTCAAGTTATTTGTTCTTTTTGTGCTTCAGCTTCCTTATTTGAAAATGGGAAGGGTGGTATCCACTTCATATATTTTTTCTTTTTCTTCAGGACGTAAATGAATTAACACCTACATAATACTGAGAACAGCACTTGGCTCATAGTAAGTTGTATATGAGTTTTAGCAATGAAAGCAAACAATATCAATAACAAAACAAAAATGCAAAACAATGACAACAAAACCCACATGGAAATCAACATCCCTACAAAACTGATGAGGGCTGAATGAAGGCAGTGGCTATAAAAGTGGGGAGAGAAGTCAAAATGGAGAGGGGAAGTGCTCCTTCAGTTTTGTGCTAAATAACTGGTGATGCTCTGAAACATCCCCAATTATACTTAGGTTGGAAATCCTGTTGGAACTGAAGCACTAAAATGCAAGTTTACCCTTGCATGTGGTCACACACACGATAAGAGACTGAAGCAGAAAGCACATCTTCTCTCCTCATTCGCCCGTGAGGTGGGTTAACTGTTTTCAAAGAGATAATAGGGAATAGATGGTGCTGTACAGCAGCTCAGAGTCAGCATTTGAAATGCAGACTAGTAAGTCTGCCATTGAAGCCATAAGTTTTCAGTGTTTTTCAGACATCTTCAATCCATGTGGACAGCTCACTGAGCAGGTGCCTGGTGACTGCCCCATGCCTAGTAAAAATCTGTGGGTGGGTTGGGTTGGCATGCATCTTATTTATCCAGAGGCATACACCCAGAGCACGCTTTTGAAGGGTTGTTGGCTCTGTGCACATGCACGTTGTATGTATGTGTATACACAACTGTGTGTGTGGACAGATGCATATATAATAATTCATATCTTCCCATTTCAAGCACTGAGCTAAATTCAGCTTATACTTTTTTTTTTCTAAGAAGCCTTTACTACTTCTGTAAAAAGAAACTCTCATTCCAAAGGAGAGGATGGGAGGCTGAAGAAATTGAAAATGAGATGGGAAATGGGAATGATAGTCATTTTGCAACTCCAAATTCCAGGTCTGATCCTTAGGGTATTAGTCATTAAGCAAATTCTCCCTGATAACCAATTACAGAGAGGAAAAAAGAGAGTAAGCTTTTTACTGCCCCCTGCCTCCTTCTTCCCTGTGCCCCGCTCCCTACCCCCAACCACCAGTGAAGATGTTTTAGTTCTCCCCAGCCATTTGAGCTAGGGGCAGGAGACCTTCCCTTCCAATAGAGTTCCTTGGTGAAGGTGACTTCTTTATCCACTGGATGCTTTCCCAGGGCAGTTTCGTTGATCCTCCAAGAATAGCAACTCACTGTGTATCAATAGCTCCCACAGAAGTGCCGAGTGTTAAAGAAACCCTTCCTCACGACCTGATGGGATGGGTGGCAGCATGTCCACACCTGGGCCTGACATTATACTTGGGGAAAGGGTGGTAGTCTGAGTGTCTCAGAGCAGGGCACTGGCTAGGTGTGAGGTTTCCTACTGCTCTGTAGGCTGCTCATGCTGGAGTCCTGAGCTCCACCAGGAGTCCCTCTGGCCTGCTGAGCAAGTGGATCGTCCAACGGGCCCATCAGCCTGCTCTGCACAAGAGTTATAGGAATTGTAGAGCCCTAGGACAACAGTCAAGACCAGCATCACTGCAGCCATCATCCAGATCACTTGCCAGTGCTGACACAGTTTGGGATACATGACTTGTAAGAAATGGACCAATTCTTCAAGTTTGCTGTCAATGAAAAAAATAGGCAGAGGCTTTAGTATACTGGGCACGCATATGATACACAGACCCATAGTTCTCTCTGGGGATAGCTTCCATGCTGTCTTGAGCACTAGTTCTCAAACTCAGCTGTGCCTAGATTGGGTTGGCAGCAATTGTTCAAAATGCCCCAAGCACACTGAATAGGAATATACAAAGTTATGGTCTAGGAATCATTGGCTAAATTTTCCCAGGTGATTTTGATTCCACCAGTCTACAGCCTTGATGTTGAAAGCTACTTGACTAGATCATTCTACTTACTTGTTTGATCAACCATCCACACATGCCCTCACCTATTCACAGGGTGATTACTGATATCTACACTCTCCCAAGCCCAGGGCTACAGGATTGGCTGATCCATACTCTCATGCATCCAGACCATCACGGGACTGTGCATCTTTTTAGCACTTAGCTGTATTAGTGATCAGTTCCAAGCTCTAACCTGTCCCTTGCCTCAGATGCATAATTCATTGTTCTCAGTTCCATATCTAACTGTGTTCGGAGAGGAAGGACTGTGCTAAACTCATAAGAAGCTTGATATTCTGTGATAAATGACAAGGGACTAGATCAACCTCAGGAGGTCACTTCAAACCATCCAAGAGCAGGCAGAAGACTAGCAGCCTCTAGCAATCTCTGGGTGATTTGTTGATGATGTTATCTCAACATCATTAATATTTATTATCTAATTTCTCTCTCTTCCTTTTTCTTCCTTCACTCTCTCCATACTCCTTTCTTCTTTCTTTCATCTCTCTCTTCCTCTCCATTTTTGCCCCTTTTTGTTTTTGCTTCCTTCCCAACTGTCTTTCAATTTGTCATCTCTCTCTCTGACATAGTGAAAAGACATTGGGCAGATGGCCTCCTTTGGCAAGTCCATTCTAGAGCTCTCTGAAGAAGCCCTGAACCCCTTCATAAGCTAGGATTTTCTGCTGCTCTTAATCTGTAATTTTAAAAATATGAAAAATGAGAATACCGAGGATTCCTAAACCAAGGAGGTGGGGAAAATTATAGAAGTGGTTTCGGAAGATCCTGAGGCTCACACGCACACTCCAATGACCAAGCCATTGGCTGAAAAGCAGAGAGCTCAAATTTAGAACGAGTAGAAAATGTGTGACTTGCAATGGATTGAAAAACTCAATAAATACCCTCCTTAGAAATGGTCCAGATGCTCAGAGTGCCTTCCTTGGATGCTAAGGCCACAGGGAACATTGACAGGTTTCTCTTCCACGCGGGAATCCCATCAGATCGTTTCAATCACAATTAAGAAAAGCACAAAAGTGAGCACATTCGCTGATTTGAAAATCACTGGCTATTTTCACAACTGTTGGGAAGGGAGAGTTTAGAAGTGGAAGTGTATTTTCTTTCAGCCCTTTTTAGATTCTTTAGGTTCTATTTAGATAGAGTTGAATGCTAAAATGGAACCTTTGGGGCTATATTTCCATCCTTTAAAACAAGCTGCTAGAGTGGCTTCTCCCTACTCTAACTCCACTCTTAAGTGCAGCTCCAAAGGAGGAGGCCAAGGTCTGGCTGTGTGACCTTAGCTGGTCACCGGTGCCTAGCCTATAAAAGAGGTTAGAAATAGATTAGAAATAGAATTTCTTTGGAAGTCAATTTTTGGTTGTTATAAGTAAACTTCTGTTTCCTGAGAGTTATTGGAAACAGAATGGGGTAAATGTCATCTTAACCCCACAGAGCAGGTTTTAAAAGGCGTTGGGAGAAAAGACAAAAGTTTTAGCTTGCCCCTATGAGTCTCACTTGTTCAATGTCAGAAGACTGTGTTCTCTGTTTTAATATAATTAAGATATTGGGGTTCACCCAAAGTTTATTTAAACTGATCCTCAAGAGAGCCATATTTGTAACATAAATTGTTATATATAACAGATAAGTGACTCAGACAAAAAGACTTTAATGTGTGAGGTTGAATCTCTTAAGTAGTCAGCAGCTGGGCTGAACCCAATGTTTTAAAAATGCACTAAGTAGGACATGGAACTTTTAATAATTTCAAACCTTGCTTGTTAGTGAGGTACCAATATTTCAGGCGAGAATCATGTTTGAGAGATGGTGCGTGATAAACGTTACAGGTACCATTGCCACACACTGATGACCAGGAGCTGGACAGAAAGGGACCAAGCTAAGCCTTACTTCTCCTGGGTTTCATGAAATGGGAGGGAGCTGGCAATTGCCTGAGATCGAATTAGCTAGATAAAGCATCGAGGCCCTTGCTTTGCAATCCAGACTGTTTATATTCCATGTACTCTCTCTGTTTATTTATTTTTTGTTCTTTCGCAGTGTTTGGAAGTGTTAGAAGTTCTAGCCTGTCTCAGCTGTATTCAGGGGTGCCAGAGGAAGTGCTTTTTGTCCAGGGCTTCACTTGACTGCATTCAAGGGGAGGAAGGCAATGTGTTGGCCTGAGAAATTTGAGCGGAGAAGCCTCAGGACAGTGGTGAGGCCTAAGAAAAGGATCTGGTTGTCTGGAGTAGGGATTGTGCTTTAATTGTTAAACTTGGAGGTTCTTTCATTGGGGAGGCAGTGGGTACTAGCACAGGCTTGTTTTCAGTGGAGAAGCATTTCTCCAGTTCTCCTAACAGCTCTTCCCTTGAACAATGGGGTTGACCAGCATGGGCTGAGACCTCTCTCAGTGAGACCTCTCACTTTAGTTGAATCCTCCACTAACTGGGCTGTATTGGTAGCTCCTATGTGCCTATCCATTTTGATTCTAGTCTTCACTTCATTACCTGTTTGTTGCAATTATGTGGTTTCCAGAGTTCTCCAGCAACGAGGCACAGATATATACACTGATTAGATAATATTTCAGCAGCTGATTAGATATTTTGTCTGGAACTGCCCTGGACCCCAAGATATCCCAGGGGTCTAAAAAACAAGGATTTTGGTGAAGGTTTTCTAAGGTGGCTATAACTACATTTAAAATAATCAAAATCCAAGACTTGTGGTTTAAATATACTAATAGAGACAACATAGTTAAATATATGAAATTGGGCTGTCCTGAAAATCCAGAATGTTGGCATGATCATTATATCTATGCGGTAGAGTACTCCTCTTCTATGGGTGCTAGTTTATCCTATCCCTAAGCATGTACTTCTGGAGGATATTCAGGCCTGGTGGGGCTGAGACCTCATTCCCATAATATTTCATTGCATGAAGTGCCCTGGAACTAAATGAGATCATTTCTACGATTCTGCATCCTAAAGGCCAGGCAGAAACCACAAGTGGGACAAGATATAGGTCTATATTCTCTTTATCTACATGTTCTATTCTCCTCCCCCAACTTAGGGGAAAGTACCTTTGAAATAGAAAGTATTCTAAAAGAAAACCCCAAATATTTCTAGCCTAAAGTGAAGACACTCTCTGGATGACCAAGCTTGATTGGTCAGCATGGTAGGCACCTGTTGGAGACTCACCTTGTCACTGAGCTGAGTTTGCCCTCTGCTCTGCGTGTCCTCCCAGTTCCTGTTCTTGTAAAAAACCAACTCCAGAGCTTTAAGTCAGCTCCCTTGGTCTTGGCCCTCTCATGGGGATGGCTACCCATCATTTCATCTGGGAAATGAGCTAACTATGCCTGGGCTGGGAGGGACTCCACTCAGGGCCCTTTGCCCATCCTTAGCTCCAGGAGCTCTTGATTGTCATCTTCCCTCCCCATGACTGCCCCGACCTCTCAAGCTCTTGCAAACTTCTGATTGCTAGTGATCTCGGCTCTTTGGGATTTCCTCTACTCCCCTCCCAACATGAGTGCCCTCTTGGTTTCTTTGGCTACTCACTGAGGCCTCAGATTCACTGCTGCCCTGGACTGGCATTTCCAGGGATTTTGTGCATTTAAATTAGGTGAATTGTAACCCATTCCAGCAATAGCAAGGACTCCAAACACAGGCTTCCCACCTGCTTCTTGGGCCCTTTTCCTCTTCCTCAGTTTCTTCTACCTCTTCAGGTTCCTCAGGACTCTCACCCTTCTGTTCTTCCTCCTCCTCCTTCAGGTCTTGAAGTTCTTTGTTCTTCTTTAGACCTTCTTGGAATCTGGGGGACAAAAAGGAACAGTTGAGTCTGGAAAGGCCAGATGCAGTGCATCCTTTCCTGAGTTCCTAGGGGAGGGGGCTTGAGCAGCACCTCCAATAATTATGCACTTCCTGTGGTTCCACAAAACAGGAAAAAGCTGGGAAGCTCCACTGAATCCCAAGGCAGCTCATGCCAGTACCATTTCCCCTCACTCCTCAGTCATCCTTCCTGTTTATGTGACAGTGTGACAAAACTGATGAGGAAAAAATGTAGTGCAGGATCTCCTGACTGGGTTCTTATCCCACAGAACGTTCCATAGGCCTAAGATTGTATTTGTTCTCCATGTCACCATGGAGCTTCAGCCTCTCATCTGTGAAAGAGGGAGGGGGACACTCATCTCACAGGGCATTGGAATTATTTTTTATTTTTTTATTTTTTGAGACGGAGTTTCGCTCTTGTTACCCAGGCTGGAGTGCAATGGCACGATCTCGGCTCGCCACAACCTCCGCCTCCTGGGTTCAGGCAATTCTCCTGCCTCAGCCTCCTGAGTAGCTGGGATTACAGGCACGCGCCACCACGCCCAGCTAATGTTTTGCATTTTTAGTAGAGATGGGGTTTTACCATGTTGACCAGGATGGTCTTGATCTCTTGACCTCGTGATCCACCTGCCTCGCCCTCCCAAAGTGCTGGGATTACAGGCTTGAGCCACCGCGCCCGGCCTGGAATGTTTTTCGGAAGTGCCAGGCACATGGCTTGACCTAGAGAGGTAGTCAGTAAAAGTTTACAAAACCAATGAAGGAGTTCATGCCCATGCATTCCAAGGAGAGAGCACAGTTGTGGGTGAAAAACGCAGGTTTTCCAAGAGAAACCCTTGTGGTTTTTCTCCCCCAGGATCAAAATTACCCCAAACACACTCTGTTCACTTATCCTCTGCTGAGTGTCTAACACTAGCAATTTGGTCGAGCAAACCCACCACTGAAGCCCATGGGTTCTGTGTCAGTGGGAAACTATTTCTCCCTCATGAGCTATGGGGACAGTAGATGCTCGGGCTGCCATACATGGTCAGAGGTAAGCCTCTACTTTGAGGTTTGGCCCCTGCTCAAGACTTGCTTGGTCTCTCCAGTGCTGACAACTGGCCATAGGTGCTACAGAGGAGGAAGAGCTGGAAGTTGAAGAGATTCTGTGTGTAGGAGGAAGGGGTGACCAAAGCAGTTCTAGGAAGCAAAGCTGCAGCTGCTCCTGGGCACTGTTGGCAGCAGCAGGACTGCTCTGAACACGTGTCAGGAAGCCTCAGGCACCGCCAAGACCCACCCAGGGCCTCTATTTCCAGACTATTCTGAGCAGTGGCATTCTGGTGGCTCTCTGCCTAAAAAGAGGGCCGTCTATTTAACCACACCCGCTGACCCTGCTTCCTCCTGTCCTTCCTGTGGAACAGTCTTGCTCTTCCTATGCAGTTCCTTCCTGTAGCAAGGAGGTCCTGTGGCCACTGGCTGGTTCCCTACCGCCTCTAAGAAACAGGAAAGACCCATGGGAAGGCATCTTCTGAGACCTGCCAGGTGCCCTCAGCGTGGCCAAGGTCTGACTCACCCCTTGCTGAAGGCTTCTTCCTTTATCCTGGCCTTGGTCTCCTGACTAAGCTCCTCCAGGCAGCTGAGGGTCAGCGCAGGAGCAGAGACTTCACAATCTGGGTCCCCATTTGTCTTTCCACTAGTGAAAAGAGGGAAGCACAGGGCATCATTTCAGAAAAAGGTGGAGGCCTAAAAACAAAGCCACGTTTTGGGCCCAATTCCTTATTAGGAGTGCAGAAACTCAGGTTCTTTCAGTAGCTTTCAGATTTTTTTCCAATCCTTCTAGCCTGAGACAAGATTTTATAAAGGTCCTAGTCCATGAATTTTCTCCAGCCCATTAAATACGACACCAGTTCCCCTTCTCCTCATGCTCCCAAAGTGGCATTTATTTTTATTCCGGGAGGTGCTGTGATGGGTGCACTACAGCACTGAGATGAGGAAAATGGGGCAGAGCAACACATTTAAGGTCATTCCATCCCTGTCATCCATCTTTCACCTGAAGACCCCCACTCATTTTTTCAAATATCCACTGAGCATGACGTTAGAAAATAAAGAAATGCTTTTTATCAACATGGAACTTAGCAGAAGGAAAATCCCCCAAAAAGGACAGAAAAAGTACGTGATTAATGACAAATCATAACTTTTATGTAAGAAATTCTGTACAATGACAGAAAATAACATGGAGAGAATGTGTTTCCAAAAGGCCTCTCTGAGGTGCTGAAGTTGAAACACAGTCCTGAACAATGAGAAGTCAGATGTATTCATAGCAGAGAAGAGGACTGGGCACAGTGGTCCACGCCTGTAATCCCAGCATTTTGGGAGGCCAAGTGGATCACTGGAGGTCAGGTGTTTGAGACCATCCTGGCCAACATGGTGAAATCCCATCGCTACTAAAAATATAAAAATTAGCTGGGTGTCATGGTAGGCACCTGTAATTCCAGCTACTTAAGAGGCTGAGGCAGGAGAATTGCTTGAACCTGGGTGGCAGAGCTTGTAGTGAGCCAAGATTATGCCACTGCCCTCCAGCCTGAGTGACAAAGTGAAACTCAGTCTCCAAAGACCAAAAAACAGCAGAGGAGAGATTATCCCAGGAAGAGAATGTAGGTTATATAAAGACTCTGAGACACAAAAGGTACTGAGTTATTTGAGAAACTAAAAAGAGGCAGTGTTGCAGGAGTTAACTTTTGGACAAGAGACATTTGCAATCCCTGTGAGGTATCCAAAGGGAGATGTCAAGTAGACAGCTGAATTCACCAAGTGAGTCAGGGAAGAGTTCTGGGCTGGAGATATTCATTTGGTGTCATCAGAATACAGATGGTATTAAAGTCATGGGGATGGACAAGATTGCTTAGGGAGGTAATATGAGGAAAGACAAGAAGAGGACCCAGGACCAAGCCACGAGGAACTCCACACTTGGCTCCGGTGGAAAAGAAGGCGTCTTCGGAGGTGGCTGAGAAGTAGCAGCCAGAGAGGTAGGAGGAAACCCAGGAGTGGGTGGAGTCTTGGGAGCCAGGAGACAAGAATGCGTCAAGGTGGGAAGAGTTATAGGTGCCACTCACTTCTGAGAGCCTGAGTCCGAAGCGCACAGACAAGGTGACTATTAGATTTGATAATATAGAGGTCAAGAGGAGCCTCCATGTAATGGTGGGAGCTAAGCACAGGTTGGAATGTGAAGTAAAGAAAGGGAGGTGGGAAAGGTAAAGCCACAGACACAGCAATTTCAGTAGGAAGGAGAGTAGAGGGGTGTGTTGGAGGGAGTGCACAGCTGAAGTAGGTTAAGGGATGATGCACATTTGAATGTAGATAGAAATGGTCCAGTAGAGAGGATGAGAGAAAGGGATGCCCAAAGGAACCCAGCTTCTGCAAAAGGAAGTAAAGACAGACCTTGGAAAAATAGAGAATCTCTCCTTGTTTGTAACAAAGGGACCAGGATGATGAAGTTGTTGGGCTGGAGATGTGGTGAAGGAAAGTGAGAGGGCTCCTATGGGAATGTAGCTTAGGTATCCTCTATAAAGTGGAAGGCAAGGTCATCTGCTAAGAGTGAGAGGCAGAGGGGTCCAGGAAGGTTTGTAAAGAGAGGAGGGGTGTAAAGAGTTCCTGTGAAAGAAGGAAAACATACTAGAACATCATGGTAGGATGACTGGGTGGTGCTGGGAGATCATTAGAGGTATGGGATCACAAGTTTAAAGGAAGTATCCAGATGGCTATGCTTTCCCTAGAAATCCTGCAGCCCACATTTGTGTCCTGATTTCCAGTGGGAGCAACGTCGTCATGGAGGAGTCCACCAACAAGGCAACATTGTAAGCAGAGCTTTCCAGCCAGGACTCCGAAAGATCACAGCTGCCACTCTCCCTGAACTCTCAGGCAGGGTTTCTGAGTGAGCCTTGTATCTTCTCCTCATCTTGGCATCAGTTTCCCATCTCTTAGTTTTCCTCAGACCTTTTAAAATTCACATTTAGTCAGGCTGGAAACCACAACCTATTGTGAACAAGAAAGATAACGCTCTAAAAATACCAGCTATTCATAACATTTCTCCTTTTGCAAATTACATTATCCACTCCCTTCCATGTGACCTTGGCTTAATGTGCAGTTTCCTATTTATCTAAATGATTGGAGCAAGAGGAGGAAAACATAGCTACAGCCAAGGGCAGGGAAAGTAATTCTTTCATGAAATATGCATATACATATAAATATAGGAAATGAGATATTGGTATCAGACTTTTGAATTCTTTTATATACAGCTGTCAGCCTTAGAGGTTCCTTAATGTTAAGCATACATGAAGGAGGACAGTGTAGTATAGAGGAAAAGAACTTGCCTCAGGAAAACCTGGATTCAAATCCCGGCTCCAAGACATGCAAATTACTTAATCTTCCTGAACTTCAGATTCCTCAACTGTAAAATGGGGATAGTAATACATATCTGATGGTGGAGGTGTAAGAATTAATGAAGAAACGTAAATAAACTTTCTGGAATATGGCACTCAACAAATTATACCTATTACTATTGTTATATAGTGTAAATTGACTGGCACATTTTGGGAGCAATCTGAGCTACCTCCAAATATGACTCATAAGAAATCCAGGCAATTATTTATGTCATCAAGGGAGAACTTGTTATACATTACTGAGACACTTCAGAGTCAGAGGAACCTAAATGTGAACTAAAGCATGGTAAAATTAACATTACATCTTCATAAAATGGCTTTAGTAAATTTCTCAGGTGCATGTCTATTGCCTGTCATCACACACTCATGCATGTTAGAGTTTTGCAGACAAGTGATGATAAACAAATCTCTCATTGTCCTTGGGTCATTTTGTCTCTACAGACAAAAACTTTTCCCTAGCACAGCCAGGAAGGCCATTTCACTGACCCTTTTACATGCAGCATTTCTGTCCATTTTAGCTACCCTATAGGGCTTTCATATACTTTCTCTCATTTGATCTTTCCAATGACAAGAAGAGCTAAAAATTAACTTATGTATCAGACTGTGATCTCACTTAGGGCACACAAATGATCCAAGAAGGTATTGCTGTTCTCTGACAGATGAGGAAACCAAAGCTCAGAAAGGTTAGGCTGAGGCATGAGAATCACATTTCAAGTGATTTCATATCTGTCAAACAGAGAATAGCAATGCCTTCTAGGGTCATGTGTGAGCCTTAAGTAAAATGCTAGAACAGAGCCTGATATATAAGTTAACTTTTAGCTCTTCTTATCATTGGAAAGAGCAAGTGAGAGAATGAATGTATATGATGTGCGGACCAGACCGAGATCATACAAGCAGCGTGTGGTAGAGCTCAAACTTTACCCTGTGCAGTCTAATACATGCCCATTCTTCTGACTGCACTATCTGCCACATAAGTGGGGTATTATCCCATTTCACAGATAAGAAACCCAAGCTCAGGCTGATTGAGTGACTTGCCCAAATTCATGTTACTGGTGCTGGGACTCTCACTTTGGTCTTCTAACTTCATGTCAAGACCAAATTTCCAGCCTTCCATGAACCCCACCTTTCTTTCAATGGAAGTCTTTTCCTTTCATTCTGCTGAGTGAAGCTCTTCCTGCCCTTCCTAGCCTTCCTGCCCAGGCTAGACGGTGGCTTCCATGCTGCCTCTCTGTTCAAGGCTGCTTGTCTAGAGTGTAAGTGGCTGGTAGGGCCTTTGTTCAATGTGTGTGTGTGTGGTAGGAGAGGGGTTGCAGGTAGGGTGGGAAATGGGTAACACAATATGTAAAATGTCTGCTGTTTTCTCCTGACCTCTAGACCAAGTTTCCTAAATATCTTCTCTAACTACCTGGAAGTTTCTCCCTAAGCATCTTTAAGACTAAGCTCAAATGCCTTCTCCTCTGTGAAACCTTTACTGGTGTTTTCCTCTCCTCCACACCCTCTGGTTAAAGTTGATCCCCCCTCCTTTTTTTTTTGAGACAGGATCTCTCTCTGTAACCCCGGCTGGATTGCAGTGGCACGATCTTGGCTCACTGCAACCTCTGCTTCCCAGGTTCAAGCGATTCTCCTGCCTCAATCTCCCAAGTAACTGGGATTATAAGCATGCACCACCATGCCTGGCTAATATTGGTATTTTTAGTAGAGAAAAGGTTTTACCATGTTGGCCAGGCTGGTCTTGAACTCTTGGCCTCAAGTGATCCACCTGCCTCAGCCTCCTAAAGTGCTGGGATTACAGGCATGAGCCACTGCACCCGACCCTCTCTCTCCCTTTATGCTGCCACTGCACCTCTGTGACAGCATGACTCATAGGGAGGACATTGATATATGTTTTAGATACCTGCAGATGACTGTAATCACAGGAAGAAGGACTGTGTTTGGGTCAGAATAGTGCCTGGCACACAGCAGATGCCTTTAAGTGCTTGTTGAGTAGCATCGGTTTCACTATGACTTAACCAGTCCCTACCTAGGAATGTTGTAGAAGTCACAAGTCCTTTCTGTAAATGCTTATTTCCTGAGAACCCAGTGTTTGGGATGGGCTAAAGGAATCTGTAATCATGGCTGTAAACTGCAGCTGAGCAGAGCCTCTACCCACCCTAGGGATTTCTGGCCCAAATGCTCGTGGATCTTGGCATCTGTCCCTTGCCTGAAATCCTAAGTGCTTTCTTTCTGGGATGATTTAAGAAAATGAGGCTCGTTGTTCTCACACATTCACCAGGTCAAAAATGTTTGTCATTGTGCTCAGCTCTCAGTAATATGAGGCACTATTTAGTCAAAATATGGTTTTGGACAGGCAGGTATATTAGATTCAGCTTTTCCCACATGGTAAACAATATTTGAAAATGATTATTATCCTTTGTGATGGGCATATCTTCTTGGGATCAGCAAGGTTTCCAAGTCACCCCCACTCTGACAAGCCCAGCCCAGGGAACCCAAGCTTCCTTACTCCCCATCACTCAGTCCTTAGATCCTTGGGGTCCACCACAATTTTATTGGGGGAGGGGAATTCACCCCAAAATATCATCAGCAAAGGGGAGTTGCTTATTGTACAAATTTAGCATTCTGTGAAGTCTTCAAGGAATTTACCCTGGGTCCTTCAAGAGTATAGAAAAATGGTTATTTTAGAGATAAAATTGCTCTGTGATACATTAACATAATCAGCCCTTTTTGACACTAACCCTGTGCATTATCTACATCCTGGTTTTGCTGATCTCTCTGTGAGCGGTTCCACACACACCCTGTCTCTCACCCTGACTCTGCTTTCCACTCCATGCCCAGCCAGTCACCAGGCTCTTCCAAAAATGGCTCTTAAATCCATCCTCTTCTCTATGGTCACACTGATCTGTTCTTCCAGTTGGGTGGTCTATTAAAAGGTTAAGAGCATCTGCTCTGCTATCTACTGGCTTTGTAACCTCAGGCAAGTGATGATTTCTCTGAGCTTCAGTTTCCTCATCTATAAAACAGAGATATTAATTGTATACCTAACTCATGGGATTACTGTAAGGATTAACTGAGATTTTTAATACAAAGCAATTAGTAAAGCACTTGGCATAAAGCCAGAGCGCAGTAAATAGTTAAAGGTAATCACCATTGTCATCAGTGCAGTAAATAGTTAAAGGTAATCACCATTGTCATCAGTGCAGTAAATAGTTTGTAATCATCATTGTCATCAGGGCAGTAAATAGTTACAGATAATTAACATTGTCATCAGTACAGTAAATAGTAAACAGTATAGTCACCATTGTCATCAGTGCAGTAAATAGTTAACAATCACCATTGTCATCGTTATCATTATCATCATTCCTTGAATATGTCGCAATGACAAAGCTGGGAATGTTGTTAAACTCCTGTTCACCTAGATAATTATGTAACCTTTAGATTTTACTTTAAAAATAAGTTCCTATAGGGAAACTGTTTTTTGAGATAGAGTCTGGCTCTGTCTCCCAGGCTCCAGGCTGCAATGCAGTGGTGCAATCTCAGCTCACTGAAACTTCTGCCTCCTGGGCTCTAGCCATCCTCCCTCCTCAGCCTCCCGAGTAGCTGGGACTACAGGTGCACACCACCACACCTGGCTAATTTTTACATTTTTTTGTAGAGATGGGGTTTCACCATGTTGCCTAGGCTGGTCTCAAACTCTTGAGCTCAAGTGATCTGCTTGCCTTGGCCTCCCAAGGCGCTAGGATTACAGGCGTGAGCCACTGTCCGGCCAAGGGGAATCATTTTCTAATCTTCCTCTTCCCCCACCTCTCTTCCCAACTTCCCCCAACCTTACACCAAAATTGGGTTAGGTGCTCATTTTCTGCTGCATTATTCCCTTAGCAGCCTATACTTCCCTAAGATGCCACTCATCATGTTGTATTATATAGGCTGCTTCCCATATGTCCTGCTGGACTGTGAGCTCCTTGAGTACATTCTATGTGCCTGGTTCTTGATGATTAATTGTTGAAGGAATGAAAGAACAAAAGACTACAATTACGTAGCTATTTTGACTTGCAGAACTGCTCTTGAGCTTTGTTTTGCCGTCATCTTTGAGACTAAATTTAAATATCACTCTCCACCCATATGTTTAAGTCTACAGGTTCCTAGGCCCTTGTTGAGTGAAGAGCAGTTCATTATGAAATGACCCTCAAGAACGAGGCTCAGCATTCTTTGAAATCTCATGGAGCAGTCTATTTTCCTGTGAGCTAGCCACAGGCTATTTAATCTGCTTATCCTTTGCTTGGCCAGCGCCTTTCCTGCTTCATCACTGTATGCTTAGGAAAGATAAAATCGTTTTAATACGAAACTGAATACAACAATCTCCAAGGCAATGTATATTAAACTATAGCACATTATTTCTCTTTCACAATATGGGTAGGGCAGCTAGAATTGACTGTCTTTGTGTATAGGACAGAAGATAGGACTTCATTTTTACTCATATATTGTCTCAATGTTAGCCTGTTGGGAATTGAGAAAATGTTTCCAGTTTTAAATGGAAATCACTTAACATTTCCAGAAATCCAGAAGGGGAAGCTGTTGTTCATCCTGAACCCCTCTTCCTCTGAAGATGCCCTTCCCTCTTTGCAACCCTTCTTACATGGGTGTATTCCCAATTGGCGAGTCAGCCCAGCATGGCTAAGAGCAATCTCTCTGGTCATCCCTAAGAGTGAGTTGCAGGTACCTTCTTCCTGGAAATCTCTGGCTTGACTTGCCTTAATCCTCATTCTGTCCCTATCTCTCCAGGTTCTAAACCCCTGGAAGGTGATGCCACTATTGATCATCCCCATTGACACTCCTGATTTGGGGCTGCTGCTTGTTGTCTTGAATTTTGTACCTCGGTTTCTCTTACCAAGGATAACTCTCATGTTTTCATGATCCCCACTGCCTTGGACAGAAGTGCTCAACTGGCCTGGCATGAGTTCCACAGAGTTCAGGCCCCGCCCTGTCATGATTAGAGTCTGTTGAAGAGATCATCTGCCTTGAGTAGCTCTGCAGGCCTACAGCTGAGAATGGAGCTAGAGTTGAGGGTTCTCTGAAGTAGAGATTTGGGCACCCACAGGGAAGGTTGGCAGGGAGAATTTTAGTGTGCTTCTCAGTCAGAGCATCAGGTGACCATTTCTGAAGAGATTCAGAGACCCTGGATAAGAGACTATGACTCTAGGGACTTGGTTAGTTTCCATAAACCCGGTTACTTCCATGTGGTGGTTGTTGTGTCACTTCTTGACAATTTCCCTGTAGTGATCAAGAAAAGACAGAGAGAGACCCGAAGAGACCCTCTATAACATGAAGGACCTGCGAGCTTATGGGGGTGAGGTGGCAAAGAGAAGAAATGCTGGGCAAACTTCAAGACTAACAGGGGACAAATCACTGGGTGATAAGCTGGTGGCTGCACATAGTAAGAGATGAAGGAACCAGGCTGAGTCTGGAGGTAGGAGCTTGTCTGTACTGAAAAGGGTTGCAACATACACATTCCCTGACAGGCAGCAAAACTTTTCTCACAGCAAAGAAAAACAAAGGACTGAAGCTGTCTTGAGGCAAGGAAGAAGGAAGAACAAGGTAGATCTTCTACCAAGTGAGAAAAGACACAAGGGGAAAATTCTAGAGGCAGCAGGTGTGATCCAGATGTTTCTCAGCAAGCAAATGAAAGAATTTGAAAAGTAAGCTATAAACTCCTCTGAGTGCACAGAAACAGCCTGCCTTGCTCTGGCTGAGGATGAAAAGATCTGCAGATTACAGAGATGCTAGAAAATAACAGACACTGCTGGCTGCTAATCCAACATGCATTTTCCTTCCCACTTCCTAACAGCAACATGATTCTGTTCAGGAATTTACTCTTCTTCATGGAGTCATTTTGCTTTATGGGAAGCTGACCCTCTCACCAACCCCAGGGAATAGCTGAATCCCATAATGACAATCCCATTCCCAGAGTGATTCCTTTAGAAAGGGACTTCCTTCTAGATTTGCCAATGAGATAATAGGGAAGACTGGTGAAAGGCTTCTGGGTTTATTCCTAAGAAAGGAACATGGCAAGAAACAGTCCCTTTCTTCCTCTAGGTATTGTCCTGTCTGGAGCAGCCATTTGCTATAATCTTGATGATGAAGTTAACATACAATGTGGTCAGAGGTAAGGAAATTGTAGACAGGCTAAGCTACAGCCCTGCTGTGCCACACCTGGAGCAGCCTAACCTCTGGACTTATTAAGTCCCATTGAGTTGGGGCTTTCTTTTGTCTGTAATCCAAAGAATCCCAACTGACAGAGAAAGCTCCAATCTGGGCTCTCTAAGATTGGGTACACTTGGTCTCAGTCAGAGCATCTTCCTGGTTCAAGAATTTTGCAAACAGGTTCTGAAATCTTTGTGGGTCTCAGACTCCCATTCATTTCCCTTAAAACTTAATTTGCTTTCCACTGCATTTTGAGGGTGAGGATTGGAGGAAGGAAAGTAAAATGGGGAAATTTTCCTGAAAGATCCCTGAAGTTAAGAGGAAAATCGACAAACTTACTTTTCCAAAAGTGCAGGCAGTGCTGAAGTGACAGGTAGGTTGCCTCTCCCATTGAGTGGTTCTGACTGAATGGAAAACAGAAGACAGAGAATTGAGGATGAGCTACAGAAGGAAGAAGCCAGAGCTGCTGGGTCCAATGATGCTGGGAGAGGGGCTGTTGTTTCTCTTCTTTCCTCCATGTCCCCACTTCCAATCTGCCCCTGAGCCCAGGCCTTGTCCCTCTCCCTTGGGCCTTCCCTGTCCTCCTTTTCTCTAGGGCACATGCAGCTTGCTCCTTTTCCTTTGCCTCTTCTAAGTTTCCTTAAGAGAGGAGGCGAGTTTACATCTTAAGGCTCTATTCTGGAGAGGAGCCATCAGTTTTTCTCTGTCCTGTTTACTAACTGTGACTGAACACCAGTGGGCCTCCTACAAATGTGGGTCTCAGGCTCCCTGCAATGGACAGTGATGGGACAAGCCTATCTCTGTTCCCCAGGATTTTCATGTTGTGTCGTTGTAATGGATTTGGTTTAAGTAATGGTTCTCAATTTTGGCTGCACTTTAGAATCACCTGAGGGAGGTTTTTAAAAAGTATTGATCCACTCCAGAATCTTGGTGTGGGGTCTAGGGGAAAAATGTTTTAAAAGTACCCTATGTGTTTTTTAATCTATGTCCCTGATTGCCAGCCCCTAGTGTAAAGGAATATATATATATTTGGAAAACACATTTATGCTTTTAGGCGAAGTATGGAAAATAGATCTGCTAAAACACACGAACCAGCCCTCTCCAATATCCTTAAACATTTTTTTTCAGGTTGCTTTATTTTAGTGAGTGATCTGGGAATTTAGGTTGATTTCTTAGATGATTGAAATGCTTGAGGCAGGAAGCAGTGAATACTACCCACTGGCATTACATAGAACAGAACTTGAATTTCCATGTAAATCAGATTGTTTCCTTAGAGGGTAGTGCTAGTCACAGACAGGGAACAGAGAAACCACTGAAGAAAGAATCAGAAAAATTTTAGAGAGAATTAGCCAGATGCACAAAGGCCTGGGTTACAGAAAATATTTTGTTATATACAAACTGTCTTTGTCTAAAAGAAATGGAAATGTTTTTTTCCTGATTACTAATGCATTCTTATTCTAGAAATATAAAAAGGCATCAGGAAGAAAATAAAAATGAACTATTTTACCATTGCCTAGAGATAACCATTATTAGCTGTTTCACATATCTTCTTCCAGAAAATTTCATGTCTACACACAGAAACACACTCTTTTATAAAGTACAAAACAGAATTATACTGTTTATACACTAGGTTTTGTATATCCTATTTTACTTGCTTTTGATTCGTAATACATTAGGGACAACAATTCTACAGAAACCCCTTATAGGGATATCCATTTGCTTAACCAATCTCTTAGTGAAATGGGCTTGTTTCCCATTGTTACGAACAATGCTGCAATGAACTGAGGCAGGATAACAATGGATTGAATAACAGGCTCCCGAATCAGAGAACCTAGGGTTCAAAGCTGTTCTACCACCCATCACATGTTACAAACGTCAGATACTTAAGCCCACTGCAGAGTAGAAAAAAATTATAACCACCTTGGCAGATTGTGGTGTAAGCACAAAAAGAGTTATTGTTTGCAAAGAACGCTGAGTGCCAACACCATGCTCAAGGGCGCTGGGACTTCCCGGAGTAGTAGAGTACATGCAGCCTGGTCTATATTGAGTTTTTAAGCCTATCACTCAGATTCTACATTGGAAATTCCCTCTCCTTGTTGACCCTGCCCCGCCTTTGGCTACCCCCTTAGGAGTAAGTACGAAGGAACGGTTTATCCTACTATCCTGTGCTGGAAGGCAAGCATCATCATACTTACCAAGGCTGGTAAGGAGGGGATGGGTGATGAGCTGGGAGTTTGGCCAGGCAGATTAAGGGCATTAAACTTGGGAACCACGGCAACACTGACCCTCCGGCGAGGCATATTCTGTGGAAAGAGAAGCGACTAGGATCACTGTCTTGGAGGTAGCAATAGCCATAGTTCAGAAGGACTTGGAAAAAGCCTACTCGTTTCTAATGCAATAATGGCATTAACTGGATATTTTGGTTTTGCAGTAGCAATGATGGAATTGGTGTGGAGAGAGTGGCTAAAGTTAACCCAAATTTTCTGCTTGTGGTGAGTGAACGCTCAATCTGTTCTATTTTAGCCTATGAGATCTTGGAGATACAGAATGGAAATGACCCCACAGTCTCTGTGTAACACCCTAGAGAGTGTATTAAAGCTGCCTGTAGCAATATGAAGGCTTGTGATCATTTCATATTCATTTAAGGGATGTATACACAGTTAGGGAAACCATGAGCAAGAAAGGTAAGATGTCAGAGGCTAAACTTGAGAGTGTGGGAAGCCGAATAGAAACCCTGTTCAGAATAGAAACTCTGGCATCCATGGATCCCAGAATGAATGATTGCTTGGGTGACTATGGAAACTTCTGTGATACTCCTTCCAGGAGCCGTGTTATTCTTTGGACATACATACCTTTCCCAGTGTGAGGGACATGGACCGTGCCGTGCGAGGGACCCCGTCTTCTGCAGCAGGAGAGAACAGAGAAGAGAACACAGGTAAGTTTCAGACTAGGCACCAGCAGGAAACAGAAACTAAGCTATGGTATCCATGGGTCAGAACTGGCCCTCAAGGGATAGCCACTTCTCTGGGTGTTGGGGACACTGAGTTTGGCACTTCACCCTCTGAGATGGGGCTGCCGAGTGGGTTTTTTTTTCTTTTTTGCACAAAATCTTTATCCTAACTCCACTGCTCACTACAGGAAGCCCCAGTCCTGGACCTCTTATCTGACCCCACTAAGCACGCTCAGCATAACACCCTAGATGGTGTATGAAAACTACTCAGCATTACCAAGACTTATTGGGTTATTTCATGCTTGTTCAAGGATATACAGTCAGAGAAACTATGAGCAAGGAAGGTGTGGTGCCAGTAAATAATGCAAACTTGCTGACAGAAGTAGTTTTAATATGTTACTTACCAAATGACTCAGAACAAAGGAAGCTACCACCCCAGGATTTTCTTCTCCTTACTATATACTTTAAGAGATAAAACTCATGTAATATATTTCGCTCCATACTGGGATAATACTGCCACCAGGAAACCCCTGAGTCTGTGCAGAGAAAGGTGTTTGCTAGCTCAATTCAGTTTGATTCAGTTTGACCAATATTATCTAGTCTGCATCTCTCTCTCTTCTTATGTATCCATATATTTTTGCTATGTCTCTTGAAAAGCACATAGCTGTATGTTTCTTTCATTATTATTATTATTGAGACAGAGTCTTGCTCTGTCACCCAGGCTGGAGTACCATGGCACAATCTTGGCTAGTGGCACAACCTCTGGCTCCTGGGTTCAACTGATTCTCGTGCCTCAGCCTCCCAAGTTTTTGGGATTACAGATGTGTGCCACCACGCCTGTATTTTTAGTAGAAACAGAGTTTTGCCATGTTGGCCAGGCTGTTCTCCAACTCCTGGACTTAAAGTGATCTGCCTGCCTTGGCTTCCCAAAGTGCTGGAATTATGGCATAAGCTATCACACCTGGCCTGTTTTTTCCATAATTTAATCTGAGGCTCTCTACTAACTAATAGGTTTATACTAGTTATATTTCTTGTGATTAATATATTTGTATTTATTTCTACCATGTAATTATATATTTTCTATTTATTTTGTTTTATTCATTGACTTTTTCTACCCTTCCTCTCACCCTACACATTTGTTTGGAAATTACACATTCTATTTTTAACCTTTAGCATGTCCTCTTAACTTTTGAACATATTGACTTTAAATTTAAAATTAAACAAGATCTCTATTCTTTTCCTGGATAAATCTTAAAACAATAACTCTCCCTCTTCATTATACTGCTTTCCAGTATTTTTATTTCACCTTGCTTTTGTATTCTCAAATTATTATGTTTGTTGGTTTCTACAGAGAGTGCTTATTTAGATTTACCCACATTTACAAATGTCTTTGTTCACTAGTCCTTGTATCCTACTCCTTTCTTCTGAGCTCAATTTTTTTTTTACCTTTTATTTAGGTTCAGGAGTACATGTGCAGGTATACATAAACTTGTCATGAGGACTTGTTGTACAGATTATTCTGTCACCCAGGTACTAAGCCTAGTAGACAGTATTTATTCTTTCTGCTCCTCTCCCTCCTCCTACTTTCCACCCTCAAGTGGGCCCTGGTAACCTGTTGTTCCTATGTTTGTGGCCATATGTACTCAATGTTTAGCCCCCACTTATTAGTGAGAATATGCAGATTCGGTTTTCTGTTCCTGTGTTAGTTTGCTAAGGATAAGGGACTCCAGCTCCATCTGTGTCCCTGCAAAATAGGTGATCTCATTCTTTTTTATGGCTGCATAGTGTTCCATGATGTGTATGTACCACATTTTCTTCATCCGCTCTGTCATTGATGGGGATTTAGGTTGATTCCATGCCTTTGCTATCGTGAACAGTGCTGCAACAAACATTTGTGAGCATGTGTTTGAGTTTGATTTCATTCTTCCTTAGGTACATCCTCTAGTTGTTCTTTCAGCAATGGTCTATGAGAGGTAAACTTTCTCTATTGTCTCCAAATAGTCTTTACCAAGCTCTCAATCTTGCATGGTAGTTTAGCCATTTGTGTTCTCTTTGGTTGACAGTTATTTTCTCTTAGTTCTTTGAAGAGATTATTCCATTGCCTTTTTCTATTATTGCCATTGAGAAATGTCATTCTTTCATAAATAATCTGCTCTCTTTAATGACTTTTAAGATCTTCCCTTCGTCTTTACGTTCCACAGTTTCTCTTTGGTGTATTTTTATTTTTCCTATTTGGAATTCACTATGTTTTCTGAATCTAATGACTGATGACTTTCCTTAGTTCTGGAAAATCCTCAGCCATTCTTTCTTAGAATATTTTCTCTCCTTGATTTTCTCCTTAAGGATGGCCTAATAAATGTGTTTGGTACTTTCTCATTCTACATCCTATAGTCCATATCTCAATGCTTCTTTCAGAATTTTAATCAATTTATTTCTCTGAACTGTATGTTGGATAACTTTCTTAAACCTATCTTCAAATTAGCTCATTTTTCTTCAACTGTGCCCAATGTGATTTAAATGTTACAATCAATAAAGACAAGCTAGGTTATACTAACTTACTAGCATAGTAATAATAAGCAACTGCAAAGTATTAGTGGCTGATAACAAGGAAGATTTGATTTGCTTATGCTACATGCCCATTTACTTATGCATCTGCAGCATGCTCGGCTCTGTGTTCCTCACTCAGGACTCAGCCTAATGGGCCTTCTAGTATTCTGGAGCAATGATGGTTATCACGTTAGGAGGAAGAAAGAGGGCAGATTGCATACTAGTTCTTAAAGGCCTAGGCTCAGATGTGACACAACCTTCTACTCACATTTCATTCACCAAAGCAAGTCCCATGACCTTGCCTTGTAACTTCAAGGAGATGGGTAAATGTGTCCAGAAGAAGATCTGGAATAATGAAGAATAGCCTCAAATATAGTAACTACCACACCTAAACTCATGAGTTTTTAGTTTTCATGACTTTATTCCTCATTTTGAAAAGCTCTATTTTATTCTTCTTCGATAACTGTATTCTTTTACTCTATTTTTGATCCATTCTTTTATGTCTCCAATACTTTTTGCTGTTGTTAGAGACAGGGTCTCACTCTTGTCACCCAGGATGAAGTACAGTGGCACAGTCACAGCTCACTGCAGCCTTGACTTCCTGGGCTCAAGCAATCCTCCCACCTTAGCCTCCTAAGAAGCTAGAAGTATAGGTGCCCACCACCACATCCAACTAATTGTTTTTGATTTTTATTTTTTGTATAGATAGGGTCTCACTTTGTTGCCTAGGCTGGTCTCAAACTCCTGGCCTCAAGCAATTTTTTCACCTTGGCCTCCCAAAGTGTTAGGATTACAGACGTGAGCCACTGTACCCAGCCACCTCTAACAATTTTAAGCTTATCTTTAAAGGTTTATAAATCATTCTACTATAAAGACACATGCACATATGTTTATTGTGGCACTGTTTATAATAGCAAAAACTTGGAACCAACCCAAATGCCAATCAATGATAGACTGGATAAAGAAAATGTCACACATATACATCATGGAATACTATGCAGCCATAAAAAAAGGACAAGTTCATGTCCTTTGTAGGGACATGGATAAAGCTGGAAACCATCATTCTCAGCAAACTGACACAAGAACAGAAAACCAAACACCGCATGTTGTCACTCATAAGTGGGTGTTGAAGAATGAGAACACATGGACACGAGGAACATCCATGGGAGGGGAATATCACACACCAGGGCCTGTCAGGGGTTGGGGGGGGCTAAGGGAGGGATAGCAGGGGGTGGGGGGATAGGGGAGGGATAGAATTAGGAGACATACCTAATATAGATGCTGGGGTGATGGATGCAGCACACCATGATGGCACATGTATACCTATGTAGCAAACCTGCACGTTCTGCACATGTACCCCAGAACTTAAAGTATAATTAAAAAATTATCAGATCATTTCATTTTCTGAGGTTAAGATACAATCCTAAGATATTGTTTGATATACCTGATGATGTTTGTTCGTGGTGAATTGTTTTCTTGTGTATTTTGTAATTTTAAATTGTGAATTCATCTTCAGTGAGGCTTTACTAGAGGAATCCTGTGTTTCTGGGTACAGTCTGTCTCTCCAGAGTGCTTTTCTGCTTATTTCTAACATGTCTTAGGGGTACCATCTTGCTGTTCTTTTCAAATCCTCTGCATATTGCATCATCACTGCTGTCTCTTTGTGACCACATACTTTTCCTCTGAGGGAGGAAAAAACTACAAGCCCAGGGTGAAACAAATTTCCTTATTTCTCTGCTGGTTGGTGATTATTATTTTTTCCTTATCCAAATTGCATCTGAAGATATTGTCCTTGGAAGGCCTTAACTTTCTGTGGGAATCTGTGTTACCTCTCTGCCACAGGTGTTCCAGGCCTTCTCTCAGATCACAGGCAAGTGTGAAAGCTCAGCCCCCAGATAACTGAGGCTGACACTCATCCCTAAGGAAGCTGCAGGGTCAGCTTGGTTTCAGTTCGCTTTTCTTTTCTTGTATCTGGGTATTTCAATTTATTTTCCTGTGGATTCAGCTATTCTTTTAGACAAAGGTTTGCTTTATTTTGTCCAGTAGACATGTGCTTGTGGTCAAAAGATGTTCAAGTTTTCCAGTCAGCCAAAATAGCAAATAAACTATTCTTCATATGTGAAGAGTTTATATAAATTAATGAACTACCAAGCTTACAAGTGGGCAAAGGTCATAATTACAGAATTTTAAAAAGTAGAAATACAAATGTTTCGTAACATTTGGAAAGGTCAAGAAATACAATTAAAACAATAAAATAAGACATTTTTTGCCTATCAAAGACATGCATGTTTATAAAAAGGAAGAACAAGGATGGTGTCAATTGCACAGCCAGTGAATTGAGTATTGTAACCCATTCAGTGAAAACATCAATGGGTTATTTAAAAATAATTTGCTTTAAGAGCCTTATAAATATTTCTTTCCCCTGAGCTAGTATTTATACTTCTAGAAATCTACATTAAGGAAATAATACAAAATGCAGACAACCGGTAAATTTCATATTCAGAAAGAAACATGTTATTTTTTTTAAATGTATGTATCACCTTCCTTGAAATCAGGGATATTTTATTTACTGTAGTCTTCAAAATCCCAGGCATAGTCAAAGATTGCAGAGGTTGTGTAAAGGCTTAAGACACAAACACTATTAGGGAACAGTCACAGAGAATCTTACAGAAACACCCACTGAGTGGTTACAGCCCCTCAGCTTAACCCAAGCTGAGGTATAGCTTGGGAGAACAACTGGAGTGGGAACAAATGTTGGAAAACATGTACAACTATCGTGACCTTTCCTATGGTGAGCATTTTCTCATCCCCACTAGACTGAACGTGGGGCTCTGCGGTGTGCTCTCCTTGGAAGTCTGCTTTCTTCTGACACAGCTATGCCGCCTGGACTTCCCAAAGTCCAGGGAGCTCCTTTGGGTCTGTGACTGTGTGCCCTTTACCTCTGTATTCCAGTATCATATAGGGTGAACCAAAGTTGATCAATCAATGTCTGTAGAATGAATCAATGGGGCTCATGGGTAACTGTTCATCCTATAAATCTTAGGTAAGGTGGTTTGCAGGAAACCTTGTGTGGCAACCAATGGAGGAGTCTATGCATTAGGATTCCTTTGGAAGCAACTTCCCCAGCTTCCACCACTGTTGGAAAATGGTTTGTTAGAGGTCCAGGTGCATGTGGGTCAGAAGCCTTGCTGACATATCCAAGCAGACAGTCTGGAACATGCGTGTATGCTGCCTTTGGACTCTGGGACGTGTCACTGATATTCTCCAGGAAACTTGTGAAACCTCCTGTTTATAAAGGTTTCTCCATCTGTTATACTTTCTGTACTTTCCCTCCTCCAGCTCTCGGTAACACGGATGTTTGCATTCCACAGGGATTCCTGTTGCTAAAGGATCTGTTTCCTCCTGCTAGCCACCTTCATCAGCCAGAGTCCAAACCCTGACAGTGCCCACGAAGAGATCTGGTCCAAGGCACCAACCTCTTCCTCCTGGACTGAGAAAGAGCCTCCCAACTCGTCTCTCTTGACCTTGGCTTTTGCACAACTCCAATATATTGTCCACTGAAGTCAGAATAATCTAAAAACAAAGCCTGATTACATCAGGTGGTGTAAACTTACCAATGACTCCCCGTTGCCTAGAGGCTTAAATTGCTATCACGGCCTGGCATGTGGTCCCGGTCTTCCAAGTCTCAGTTTCAACCTGTTACTGCCACACCCAACACTGCCACTATGGCAAACTGTTTGTTTCAACTTCTTTTCACCCCCAACCTCCACACCTTTGTCCATGCTGGTTTCTCCACTCAGGATGTATCTTCCTCTATTGACTGGAGAATTCCTATTTTTACTTTAAAACACCGACCATATAGCCTCCCTCTTTGAAGCCCTCCTTGTCTCCCTTCAAGGCAGAATCAGGCGGCCCCTCTTCTGTGCTCCTACAGCAATTCATGTAGAACTTCTAAACAAGAGCATTTCTTTGAAACATTTGTCTTATCCACGAGTCTGCTGTTTTTCTCAGTAACATCTCCTTCACCGGACTCTCACTCCACCCTAACTGCCCGGGTTTCACCCCTTACCTGGACTGTTGCAAGAACATCTTCATGGGGTTTCCTGTCCCTGGCTTGTCCCAGCAATGTAATTGCCACACTACAGTTAAAGGAAGTCTTCTTAAACTACATTATATGATCAAGTCATTTTCTTGATTAAAATCATTGGTTGGATCCCTAATGCTTTCCACAGTAAAGCCCCAGTTCCTTCACATGTGCTGCCTAAAAGGGGGTCCCAAAGCACAGACTTAAAGGGTCTAGGGTCACTCTCAGACCCCGTAAGTCCAAGAGCTCTTGAGGCCTGTGGGCTTTGTATTGTGGTCAGCCACTGTCATTTATTGTTCTGGGAGTTAGGAAGTCACTTTGGGAATGCTCACATTTTCTGGTTCCAGACTACCCTGCCAGGCCCACTGAAGCAGCTGCTGGGAGGCCCCTATGGGCAGCACTGGGCAGGGGCAAGGAGTCTTGCCCAACTGGAAATAAGTCCTGAGACTGCTCTGACAGCTCTAATCCTAGGTGAGAGCTCTCAGAGATCCACCTTGTAGTGTGGGAAGAGATGGCCAGGGGCAGACCTGTGTTACTTATAGTTAAATGAGTACAAGCTTGCTTTGCTTTTAGTATACTGAGATTCGTGCCATGGATCATATCTGAACTATGGTTCAGTAAAATAAAAGCAGGAATGAAGCGGCAACAGGAGGCCTATGGCAAAGACCATCTGAGCGCCCTGTAACTGCAGAACACTGCCGTGTGGTCGCAGAGCAGAAAAAACTGCTTTGGTCCCACAACTCTTCACAACATAGAGTTTGTGTGAGGATCTCCTCAAGGGAGCTTATGCAAAAGATTCTGGGAAGTAATGCAATCTCTGCTCACAAGACTCTGAAGGGTCTTGGCAGATGGGAGCTGGTAAGGTCAGAAGGCCACAGGCTCTGCTTATGTTCTCACAATATGGAGCAATTCTGATGGCTCTGTGTCCACAATGCTTGGGAGATAAAAGCCCCTTGATGCATTGTGTGTGGTCAGATCTTATGGCACCTTATCCTTACCTGCTGCACCTCTCTTGCTAAAACACCTGGATAGACAATGGGTACTAAAATCTCAGTGCCCTTAGGTAGCATTTCTTAGGAGAACTACGTTTCGCCATTGAATGCTGCAGACACATGCTCTTCCTCAGCTATCCTCCTCCTCAACCCCCCTCTCCACTGCCTGCAAGGTTAACAAGAAAATTTACCTAATAAAAGCGCTTGGAGCCCAGTGCTCAATGCCAAAGCGGATCACCCTGCGAAAGAGTGAGTTGGACTCCTGGACCAATGTTGTAAAATTCTATTCTTGTGTCTTTGTCTTTATTTCTTTGCTCACTCCCTGGTCACTGCTGGGACATGGTCACTGCTGGGACATGCACAGGGTTGGGCTGGTTCCCAACATTGTAGGGTCGAGATGGGGCAGGAGCCTAGGTCCTTACCAGAGGGGCCACAGCTGCGGCTTGAATTCTGATTTGCAAGCTTTTTAAACTCCATGAGCTCCGCATGGTCCTTCTCATATGTCCTCTTTAGATTCTCCACATACTGCATCATCACTTCTGTTGCTTTCGACATGCGCTTTTCCTGCAGGCAAGAAGTGTGTGAGTACATGAGACTATTGGAAGAAAGCCTCCATTGGCACTTATTTGCTCTGAGCTAGGGTCTGGGCTAGGAGAATCAAAAGGACACAGGGACAAGACTCTGCCCTCCGAAGAGTTTGCTGTCTGCCATGTGAGCTGGGAGGTGGACTCAGCACCTGCGCTTAGGGAGAATAGAAAAGCACAGCCACCACACTGCAGATGAGAGGTAAAGGAGATTTGTTTCTGCTTACAGAGAACAGGTCAGGGGAGGCTTCATGGAGATGGAATTAAGTGGATATGGGGATGTGAGCAGCATCTGGGCACATAGACCAGGGCAGGAGGGACAGAGCATTCAAGCCAGGGAACTCTAAGAGGAGTCTAGAGGCAGGGCAGCAAAGGGCTTATATGTAGATGAGGATTTATCCTCTGGATAGGAGTCCTCTGGAGAGCAAAGAAAGGCACTATGACAAATTATGCTGGGATAATCGACATAAACCAGGGCTGTCCAGAAAGCCCAAACACTTGAGGTCCTCCTACCTATGTAGGAATCAGCAAACAGTTGGGTCTATTTATGAGTCTGGGTTGTGAAGGGCCTTGAATGCTAGACAAAGGAATTTGAATTTATCCTGAAGGAAACGGGGAGCCATTGAATATCTCCCTTAAAGTAGGAGAGTAACATAATCAGGTCACAGGTATGGGACTCAAGGGAGTGAGACTGGTGGCAGTCTGGTGGAGTGAGAGCAGCAAGGAGAGACAGGATAAAGCCTGACCTGGCCCAGGGGAGCCAGAGAGGAAGGCAAAGACTGAGGCATGGAAGCCAGGACAAGGGAGCCATTTGGAGAACGGAGCAAACAGCGTGAGTGGCAGATGGGCTGAGGTACACGTGTGGGAAGCCTGCAGACAAGGAGAACAATTTTTCTCTGCTAACACACCCCACTTAGATCCCTCAGAGGATCTAGCTGAGGCCCTGCCCGGCCACAGAGGGACACACATAGTGGCTTCACAGGAACAGGTTGCATAGCCATGTGGGGCTGAGACCAGCCACTTTTCTAGAGTCCTCCTGTGTTACTACTCCCAGCTGGAGTGACTTACTGGGCACCACTGCTGAGTCAGGTGTCCTTGTCCTGAGGGACACAGGGTGGGACGGCCCAGCGGCTGGTCCTTCTTTTATTTACCAGGAACTGCTCAGGCTTCACCATCCCAGGAACCTCCTCTCATGTAACCAGAGCAGCAGGACATAGATTGACGTCATAGCAACAGTAATAACAACATCCAAATGCTTTACAAGTACGGCAGCAACCCTCTATGGCAGATACTGTGACCATCCTCATTTTACACTTGAAAAGACTGAAGCAGAGAGACCTCAGTTAGCAGCCCAAGGTCACACAGCAAATGAAGGGTGGAGTCAGGACTGGAACTGGGACAGTGTGCTCCTGCTACCACGCCTGGGGCCAGGGCGGTGCTCTGTGTGCTTCAGGACTTCAAAGTGGCCAAGAGAGAGCCAGACCTGGGCCTGTGTCCCACTCTGCCACTCACGAGCACTTTTACTTTCTGAGACTCTGCATCTTCATCTGGGAAACAGGATATGTATAGGGCTGCTGGGTGGATTTAATGAGACAAAGCAGTTTTTCCTAAAGCATGTTTTGTCAAATACTAGCTCCATGGGAGTTGAGTGGGTATGTTTAGAGAAAAATGAAATAGAGGGGTGTGGGGGGAATTCTTCAGTGAAATACATTTGGGAACTACGTAGGTAAAGTGAACAGCCCTTTTCACCACAGGACTTCTTAAAGCCTTAATTAGGCCAATGTGTTAGAAATTTCCAAGAAAGAAAGATAGCATGCAGTAATCCTCCAGCTTGTGCATCCATGAGGAACTTTTTCCACAAAGCATCTTGAGGGTTCAGTGGTCTGCTAAAAATACTCTGAATAATACCGAAATGATGTACATAGGATGTCTGGCCCAGAGGAAGCCATCTGTGGTATCTGTGGTTGCCACTGGTCGGGTGATTTCTCTACTTAACGTAGGTGGAGCAGAGTTGGCAAGGCTGGGGGCTGGAGAGGCTCACCTGGCGGACGGCACCCACCACCTCAGCTCGGCTGGAGAGGCGGGCAGCCAGGCGGTGCAGGACAGCAATGTCCTCCAGCAACTTCTGGTAGGTCTCCCGGTGCTCACAGTGGTGCCAGAGTGAAGCTGAGGACTGAAGAGGAGTAGGAGCATCACCTGGGGTCTTCAAATAACGTTATGGACTAAATCAGCAGTCCCCAACCTTTTCGGCATCAGGGACCGGTTTCATGGAAGACAATTTTTCCACAGACCTGGCAGGGACGCTGGTTTGGGATGAAACTGCTGTACCTCAGATCATTAGATTCTCATAAGAAGGGCACCACCTAGATCCCTTGTAGGCACAGTCCTCAACAGGGTTAGTGCCCCTATGGGAATGGAATGCTGCTGCTGATCCGACAGGAGGCAGAGCTCAGGAGGTTATGCTCTCAGGCAGCTCACCTGCCGTGCAGCCCAGTTCCTAACAGGCTTTGGTTCAGTACTGGTTTGCGGCCCGGTGCAGGAGTTAGGGACCACTGGACTAAATGTTTTTTGCCCCCCCACAGTCATTTGCTGACTTTTGGGGGAACACATCCTAACTCTTCAATGTGATAGTGAAATGGGGCCCCGGTGAGGTGATTAGGTCATGAGGGTGAAGCTCCTGTGAATAGAATTATTGCTCTTATAAAAGGGACCCCAGAGAGTTCTCTTCTCTTTCTGCCATGTCATGGTGTAATGAAAAGGTGGTAGTCTGCGAGCCAGAGAGGGCCCTCACCAGAACCCAACCATGCTGGTGCCCTGATCTTGGACTTCCAGCTTCCAGAACTGTGAGAAATAAATGTTTGCTGTTCAAGCCACCCAGTCTGTGGCCCTCTGTTACAGCAACTCCAACTAACTAAGACACATACCAAGCCTAGACTCAGCTCTCACAAAACCAGCTCTGGGCCCCATCCAGGCTAAGAGAAGTGGCCTCTGCAGGGTCGTGGCCACAGCTTCTTCTGGTGCTTGTGAACATGCTATCCCTCGCTGGCCTGAAAGGAGGAGTCACACTCAGGCCACACTGTCTGCTTCTGAGAAGCTTCCAAGGGTTTGGAGGCCTTGCCCACAGCCCTGAGGGAACCAGGCTTTTGGGATCTCCGCCTCAGTTTCCCCAGCTCTGTGAGGAACACTCTGTCAGAGTCTTGGCTCATTTTTTCACTTCAGGAGACTGTACTTAGTACCTGAGAGAAGCATGACACCCTGTATAGCCCTTGGAGACAGTCCCTGCTCCAAAGGCTCCTCACATCCCAGCCCCACAATTACCGTAATGGAAGCCTTGAAGTTTTCCAGTTCCTTCTCGGTGTTCTCCTCTGTCAGGTTGCGTTCCCTTTCAGCCTGGTTAATTCTAGATTCCAGGGTGTAGCTGTCATTTCTAAAGGCCAAGGACAGTTGTACAAACACGTTCTGTTGGGAACAAGAGTGTGAGACAGGTACTAGGAGGAGTTATTGCAGAGGGCAAGGCTACAGTGTGTTTCTTGTATGAGCATTTTGCAATAGCCCCTGGACCCACCTGCTAAAGCAGCCACGTGTAAGTGAAAAGCCCACTTCACTGGAAACCACAAAAAAGATTGTGAAGCAGTAACCCAAAGTCCATGCTAGGCCCTTCCCAGAACCAGGGGGCCAAATGTATTTTACCAAGAAAATAAGAAGAGAATAACACTTTGCTTTTCACTAAATTTTAAGAAAATAACATCCTGTATCTGGGTTTAGATAAACTCAGACCAGTGCAGCTAATTGTGTAAGCATTTGGATTTATGCTTGGATGTATTGCATGAGGGGCTTTGGAGATTTTGCAAGAAAATACTGTATTGAAAGAAACTCCATGTGAGATTTAAGCACTGTTGACTTAAAGCAAACTTCAAGCAGCAACTAGTCTGAGTATTCTAAATCCTATATCAATAAACGCTTTAAGTAGCTGCTAGGAGATTAAATAAGGTCAGGTATGATTCTGTTAGGATAAGCTTTCTGGAATAAATAAATGTTTCATGCCAAAATTGCAGCCTGCACGAACAGAATTTTAAAAGGTAGTATTGATCATACATGGGATTCCCGGGATAGCAGGAAACTACTAGGGAGGAGGAATAGACAGATGGACTCCACACAGGAAGGAAGCAATGGTCTTCAATTTTACAGCCATCATCTGCCCTGAGTGGTAGCAGATTTATACCCTGTGGGGTTAGTAACCACAGGGCCTTCTGAAGTTCATGTAACATGGCCTATGGAAGGCAATCATGTCCAGATAGAGAACTGAAGGCACAGAACTGACCCGATGATGATGATGGCAGTATTGAAAACTACTCCCTATTGAGCATCTACTATATGCCAGCACAGCTATTCATTCTACAAATTCATTTAATCCCCACAATAACCCTCTGGGGTGGGAAGTGTTATACCTGTTTATGGGTAAAGAGGCCAAGACCTGAAAGGTCATTAACTTGTTCAAGATGACACAGGGAATAATGGAGCCAGGACTTAACCTTAGACTATCTGATTTGAAAGCCTGTTTTATTTCTACCATATTGAGAGCTGTGTCCATAAATATATACCTCTACAATCAGGATTTTTGGACATTAAACAGACCACCCATGGTTCATCTTCACAAATGTCAATGGGTGGGCTTTGAGCTCAGAGCCAGTGATGGAAATTTTCTGCCTTACCCAGCCTTGGTCAAGTCTATGAATAATGCTCAATTTTCTATACCTTGATTATTCCCTTAACAGCAGTGAGACATAAAGAGCTCTGAATTCAATGAGAACACTTGAATCTAGGTCTCAGTTTTGCCAAGTATGGTATCTAGAAACTTGGTGCGTTTATTTACTCAATTTTCTCCTTTGTGCTAATTCCTGCTCTACCTGCTTTTCAGAGCTGCTGGGAGGATCAGCTGAAAGGACGGCAATGAGTGTGTTATGGACTATAAGTGCCTGGGCTGTGTGCAAATTATTGATACTATCTGTGGTAGATACTTCATACTGTCTGTCTTCCTCTGCTTATCTGGTCCACATTAGCAGTTCTCACTGTCTCACCCATAAGGTCTCTTTGTCCACCACAGAATGAAATGCAGATTCCTCCCAGCTCACTCACAACCCTGCTGGGACAAGGAGGCCCCAGTAAGGAAACAGGGAAGGCCAGACTGCTGACAGCATAGTCTTCTGCCTCCGCTGAGCTGGCATTCTTGTAGCTGAAACCCTTTCCCACTAAACCAAAGCTTAGAACTTGTAGTCTGACCATTTTTCAGTAATTTTGAAATAAATTTGATACAATTGTACAGCCTCCCAGCTGATTTTGTGTGTCTAAGTTATACATTTAAAGAATATAAACAATGCCTACAGGAATGTAAAATTTCCAACTACCTTCTTCCCTCTGCCCAAATTTGTCAAAATCTTCCATGAACGGAGGTGGGAATGGGGGCCTCAGTGGTTCAAGAGGGCCGGTCATGAATGTTCATATTACCCCACAGTCACTTTCTCGTTTTTGTTTAAAAATATCAGGGCCAGAGTCTGGAGGAAGGATTGTTTTGAATAAGCCCAGTCAAGCACAGGCACTAAATTTCAAAATGCACTTGAGTCACTTACCTCAACTTCCTTTTCAGTGAGTGGAGGGGCACTGCGAAAAAAAAACAAAACACACAATTAAACTCTAAGTAACGTAGTCAATAAACCCAAAGGTGACTTGAATGACCAGCAGACCATGTGTTTCCAGGGGTGGAGTAAGCTGCGTTGGTGAGACTGAAAAGATGCAGTGTCCCCTTGCCTGTGCTCTGTCACCTGGGAGATCCTGACTCTCATTGTGCCACGATTATCAATGTGGCTTTGGACAAGTTATTTAATCTCTCTAAACCTCCACTTGCTCATCTGTAAAATGGGAATCATATCACCTACCTTGCGGAAGTATTATAAGCACTATATGTACTCATGTATGTATGTATGTATGTATGTATGTGTGTTTGTATGCATAAATATATGGCTTTCAGGAAATGTGACCTGTTCATGTTAATGATGAACTCACAGGCTTGCTATGAGAAATAAGAAAATGCATGTGATAAGGACTTCATAACTCATACACATCTACGTCCATTATAGTTGTTCTGGGGATATCCACCCAGATCTGCAAAGCCTCACCCTCCTCTGTCTCTGAGGGCTGTGACAAAGGTGCATGTGGGCAGAGAATAAATGGTAGGAGACAGTGGCCAGGATTCTTCTCCACAGCAAGAATTTCTGATGGCTAGAGTCACAGAGTGGCGAGAAAGCCCCAGATGACACAGAGGTGTCCTTTTAAGTGGTTCCCGGTCTGTGTGGTTCCCACAGCCGGAGCTCTCCAGCCATAGGCAGTCCCTGCATCTGCACGTCCACTCGGTATTGCTGCTGCTGCTGCTACTTCTCTTGCTGGTAACTAAAGCTGGCCCTATCTGAAGCCCAGTGTAAATAATGCACAGGCCCTTTCCTGTGCTGGGGCGGGGAGGCCTGGGAGGGGTCCTACCAGCGTCACAGAACTTGGCAACAGAGCATGCCATCGATAAGCTTCTCAGGAAACACAGCTTCCTCTCTTGAACAGGTGCGAAGGAACCCCAAGAGCAAAGGTAGGGGTCAGCCATCTCTGCAAGGGGCTGATTCTCACCCCTAGGGAGAAATATGAGTGCCTTCCTGTCAGGATGAGGTGACAAGACCCCATGGCCATGAAGTCAGCAGAGTCCAGAACATGGGACAAACAACTGCGGAGATGTTTGATGCTTACAGTTCTTGTCACAACTCCACTCATCAGGCCCTCACCTTAACTGTCATCTACAGGACACATACATGATTTAAATGATTTAGCAAAACTTGCTAAGTTTGTTTCTGACTCCTGGGTTGTTGGGATATTATGTGAAATGTACATATTTTCATAAATTATAAAGCAAACATTTTTCAGTTTCAATGACTCACATTCTGCTTTTTTGCTGTAGAACACACCCGCCTTATTTTTATTATATTTATTTATTTTTGGGGACAGGTCTTACTCTGCTGCCCAGGCTTGAGTGCAGTGGCAGGATCACTGCAGAGATGGCTTACTGCAGCCTTGAACTCCTGGGTTCGAGCAATCCTCCTGCCTCAGCCACCAGAGTAGCTGGGACTATGGGCATGCCACTATACTTGGCTAATTTATTTTTAATTTTTGTGGAAATGGAGTTTCACTCTGTTGTCCAGGCTGGTCTTGAACTCCTGGCCTCAAGTGATCCTCTTGTCTTGGCCTACAAAGTGCTGGGATTATAGGTGCGTGAGCCACCCCACCCAGTTAGAACATACCAACCTTATAAAAAAGCAGGGGGTGGGGGGACTCTGAGGACTCAGAGAAGTGTGATTTAGGCAAAGAAGCCACATGGCATTTTTGCGGGGAGCTGTGCCTTATAAATGGGCACAGGTACCCGAGGGCATAAGTGTGAGCCTCTAAAAGGACAGAGCATCTTTTCATGTGACCATTTGTATATCTTCTCTGAAGAAATGTCTATTTAAATCCTTTCCCCATTTTGAAAAATTGGTTATCTTTTTATTGAGTTGTAAGACTTCTTTATATGCTCTAGAAACAAGTTCCTTTTCAGATAAGTGATTTGCAAATATTTTATTCTGTGGGCTGCTTTTTCAGCTGGGTGGGTGTTTTCAGCTCAAAGATCGGGTGGGATTCTTAGTGGGCACAGCTCAGGGAGGCATGAGTGTTTTTCTTGGCATTGTGCAGCACAAAAAGTTTTTATTTTGAGGAAGTACTACTTATTTTTTAAATCTTGTCTCTTGTGTTTTTGGTGCTGTATCTAAAAAACCCAAAGACATGAAGACTTACTTGTACTTTTTCTTTGAAGAGTTTTATAGTGTTCTCTCTGACAGTTAGGTCTGTGATCCATTATGAGTTAATTTGTGTGTTCTGTGTGAGGTAGGGGTCCAACTTCACTCTTTTGTGAAGTTGTTCCAGCACTATGTATTAAAATTACGATTTTTGTCCTCTGTGAATCTTACCAAAATCCTTGCATGAGTGGCTTTTTGTCATCTGTCATTTTCACATCTCAAATTATTACTTTATCACAGAGGCCTTCTTTGACCTCCTACCCAATGTTCCATTCTCATGTAATTCTCTAGATGTGCCCTATTTTATGGTCTTTCTACCAACTTTACTCTTTCAAATCATTCATTTGGTTACTTAAATATTATTTGTACTTTGGGAGGCTGAGGTGGAAGAATTACATGAGGCCAGGAGTTCAAGATTATCTTGGGCAATATAGCAAGACCCTATCACTACAAAAATTTTTTAAAACTTAACTAGACCTTGGTTTAAAATGAGGCCAGGCCATTTGCTACTTCTGTAACCTTGAGCAAGTGACTTAACCTTGCTGAGCCTTGGTTTATCCACATGTAAAATGAGATGTGTATCTGGGATTGAAACCCATGTCTGCTAGCCCAAACCCCATTCTCTGCTGCCACGAGCTTCCTGCGATGCTCATGCCTTCAGGAGTTGTGCCCACCTAAGAGTCCCACCTGGTCTTTGAGTTGAAAACACCCAGCCTGGGTGTTTTCATTAATCTTTTTGTTTTGAGTACATTATTCCTATCTACAATTGGACTCTGGCCCTTCTGGGGTCAAGAATGAAGACTGGTGTTCCCTGTGGGACACAGGGGCTGCTCGGTACAGGGTCTTCTGTAACGCACATCCCGATTTTACCTTCCAGGGAGACTCTTGTGGATCCGCAGTTTGCGCAGCAGCACATCAGAAATATTAGGCATGACGTCTAAGCCACTCTTTGACTCTTCTTCCTCAATAGCTGGGGAGAGTTCAGAAGGAAGCCCTGAAAAAAAAAGTGCTTACTTACAAAATGTCTGTTTGAAATCACAGTAGTACTGTTGGCAGCTAGTTCAGGGGGCAAGGAAGAGCTTTAACATTTATTAAGTATCAACAAAAGGAGCGAACTCTGCAGTTCTCAGGACCTTCAGTGCCTGAGGCTCCCGTCTGCAGAAGGAGTCTGACATCTTACAGAGAACATATGCACACTACTCCGATCTCACGATTATCAACAACGAAATTGATGAGACAATCAGACATCTGGAGGAAGCTGTTGAGCTTGTGTGCACAGCCCCACAGTGGGTCCCTGTCTCCTGGGTCTATTAGGCCTCTCCCCAGATATATGAGCATAACTGGGAGCACCTCATACATGGAAAAGCCTCTTTGTTATCTGCCTTGTGTCAGCAGGTCATGGTCCCTAGAGACTACCTAGTTGTAGTGTGACCTACATTTATAATTATTGTCATGTCCAAATAGATAGGAGGAGAAAAACAATTACACACTAATTTAAAGAGACAGTATCTTTTTTAATCAGTTCTCCTAAACTTTAATAAAATGTATCTTTAAATGTATGTATTATTCAATCCTTTGGAATGTTATATTTTTGGAAATCATAGCTTTTTATTTCCAAGGCCCCTAAAATCTGCACAAAATAGATGCTGCTTTCTATAATCTATTTTAATAATAATAAACAATGATTCTGTTACCTTGACTGGGGGTGGAACACTACGTTCTTTTCAGGGTCTGATTTTATGGACTGGAATATCTTGCTTTCCTTTATTTGAAATAATTAGTGTAGTGATTACAAAACAGTCATAAATTTTTTAAAGGCCTTTTCTCTCTCTCTCTTTTTTTTAGAATAGTATTTTTTTAAGTCCTTTATGTAACATCCAGATACTGTGATACTGTCTCTTTGAAGCACCCTGTAAACCTTTTAGAGATTTGAAGTTGGGTCTTGACTCTTAATGCATGTGGACAGTCACGAGCGTTTATGCTGTCAGTGTGTCTGTGTTGGACAAAACAATCTGTAATCTACAGCAAAGTACATTCTACATTCCGCTCATGGGGCACACCCAGGGGAATAAGAATAAAATGTTATTATGACTAAGTTGTAAACCTATGCACATCCCTTGCATTTTGGGCAACTTTTTAACAAAAAAAGAAACTGATTTTTATTAATAATAATCATGTAGTGAAATGTGTTTGTAATTTTGTCTCAGGTTAATTTGTTGTAAGGTGGGGGGAATTGCTGGTTTCACCATTTCAGATATGTGTTGTCTAAAAGTATTAACATTTTAATTAAGCAAAGAAATGAGGATTTTTAATCTGTATGTAATTGTTTTAAAGCACCCATTTTAAGAGAAAATACTGTGCAATGAAGAAACCAGTTTAGGCATTTGCCATAAACTGAAATATTCCAAGACAATAATCTATAACAGCCCTGTAAATTCCTTTAAAATGATAACTAACAGGACAGTTTAACCAATTTTTAAAAATATACTTCCTTTTATGTGTTCAATAAAAAAAACATTTATAAGTATCTAGTTCTACGTTAATGGCTTAATTGTTATATTATCCTCACAATGAGCTAGAATTTAGTCATCTCATTTTACATGTGGATAAACCAAGGCTCAGCAAGGTTAAGTCACTTGCTCAAGGTTACAGAAGTAGCAAATGGCCTGGCCTCACTTTAAACCAAGGTCTACCTGCTTCAAATGTTATGTTCTTCCCTTTGCTTCCCACAATATTAAGCTGGCAATTGGAAGCTGGTTGGCTGTTTGGCTATAATATTTGGGAATAAAATCTGCTCCTTGGTGGGCTTCTCAGGAGACCTGCTGTTCAATTATTCCTCCTCGGATAAATTAAAATGTCCCATATTCTGTATCCTACTTAGAAATCAGCATCTGATTCCATACCCCGTAGATAAGAGATTTTCCAGCATAAACCTAAGGTTGCTAGATCTTTTACAGATCTCAGAAACATAAATGCCTACTCCTAGTCAACAGAGCCAATGGACAGTTTTTTGTGTTTTTTGTTTTTGTTTTTGTTTTTGTTTTTTTTTAACCTTCTAAAACTACCTTGGGTCTGGGCTTTGAAGAAGGAATGAAAAAACCAAGTATTCACTTCCGCATAAATCTCCTGTTTGAAAACAGCTCCTGTGCCTCTCTACAGCTTCTCTTCTTCAGACTCTAGCTCCACTTTTGCAACAGTTCGTTGTGGTCCACTGTGGCCCATAACCTCAAGACATCGTCCCATTCCCACACACATTCTGGTTTGTTGCTGTCCCAGAGGCTCAGATGTTCTCTAACAAGCTCTTAGCACAGAAAGACTTTGGTAAATATCCCTGGCATTGCTGTTTGCTATTCATGCAGCATAGATTTTGTGTGCCTGACTATGGGCTTACAGTATACTTGGCATTAAGCAAAACTCTCAACCTCCTTAGTTGAGCCAAATCAGGTATCCTTGTCCTGTACAGTGGTTACTTTCCATTTTTATGCAGAACTTCATATTTATCCATGTTGTACTCTTTCTTGTGGATTTCAACCTAGCAGCTTTCCAATCTGCTCAATCATTTTCTGGGATCCTAGGCTAGGCTAGAGACCAGGACTATAGGCATAGCTGTAGCCATCTAAAGAGTTAAGATTGGGAATCATGTGAATAGAAAGAAGCCTCACCAAGGGAGACAAGAGGATATCTAGTTTGGCTCAAGGTAAAAAATGTTTAAATACTCTGAGCTTGCCAACAACAAAATGGTAGGCATGTATTCCTTGGTACTAAGGTATCCAAGGAAGCTGGAGGATCATCTGTCAGAGATTGTTAGTCAGCAGTTTTTCTTTGGATTTAAGATTGAATGAGAAGTTCTCTTAGCTACCTGTCACGTCTCTGGTTCTGTCCTGGCATTTACTGCCCTCTGACAAGGTTTCCACGGTGAACCTTGTGGTACCTCTGACATCATTCTACCTTTATGTATGTATCCCTATCACACTCGACAGAGAGTCAATTGAGCAGCAAGCTCCTGAGATAGCTATGGGAAGATTGAAACATATGAGGTCTAATAATGAAGTGAAATCCATACCAGGGTTTTGCATGGAAAAGTTTCCCAAAATAGTGCCTGAAGGGTAATGCCAGAATTGGTGGATCTAGGAACCAATCACCTTCCTCCTGAATTCAACCAAATTAACAACAAAAAATTTCAAAACTAGTAAAAAATATACCAGAAACTCTAAAATACAAGAAAAGGCAATAGTCTTAAAATAGTGACTAGTAGGTGAGGTGGCTCACGCCTGTAATCCCAGCACTTTGGGAGGCCAAGGCGGGCAGATCACCTGAGGTTGGGAGTTCAAGACCAGCCTGACCAACATGGAAAAAGCCCAACTCTACTAGAAATACAAAATTAGCCAGGTGTGGTGATGCATGCCTGTAATCTTAGCTACTTGAAAGGCTGAGGCAAGAGAATTGCTTGAACCCAGGAGGCAGAGGTTGCTGTGAGCCAAGATTGCAATTGTACTCCAGCCTGGGAAACAAGAGTGAAACTCCATCCCCAACCCCCACAAAAAATAGTGACTAGATACAGATCAAAATTACTAGAAATAAACATAGAGCTCCCATCATGATAACCCTTTATTCTTCTTCTTCAAAGAATCAGTATGGAAAGGAAGATGGGAGAGAAAAAATTCTTACAAAGAGTGCAATACCACAGAATAGAGAGGGAAAGGGATGGAGGAGGCAAGCAGGCAGTTGGCAGAGGATATTCAGAAAGTTTCCCTAGAATAGAAGGTTCTCCCTTCCATCTTACCAACATTTCAAAGAGGGGAAAAAACTGCCTGGGCTGCCTGCCATTTTGCTTTTCTTACTGATGAAAAGAGAGCGAAGGCAGAATGATCTCACCATATTCTATCAGAGTGGATTATCTTGAATGATGTGAAGGGATTTACCAGGAAGAAAGAGTAAAGATAAAGTAAATAAAACATGCCCCTCTGAAGGAGTGAATGTCAGGAGACACATGGAGAGCCCCAACCACCAGGTACTCCCCCAACTCCTGAAAAACAGTGGCTAAACTCCATGGATTATCTCTTTTCCTTCCTTTCCTGGTAGAGGAATGAGTGGCTGTTGGGAAGCACTGGGTCAAGTCTAGAAAATAAACTCACCAACAGCTTGTCTCTACAATTCCAACCTAAATTGGTGAAACAATCTGAAACCCACTACTAACCACCTCCACAGGAATAAAATATGCCCCCAATTTGGTATAACAAACTCATGTTTTGGACTATGAACAGAGTTATGGAAAAAGAGCAGAAACCAATTCTACAAACATCTCTATCTTAACTTCCCCTTTTCCTCACCACCGAAGCAGTAACAAAACAAACATAAAATATACGCTCCTCAACTAAAGCACTAAAGGGAAGGCAAAGAGATCTCAGCTAGGTAGACAGGAGTCAACAAAAATTAACCTACAATAGAGTATATCTAGGGAAAGGGCATCAAGGTCTAAGTGTGCAAATCAAAAAGAAATAAGAGGAAAACAGATGGCATGGCAACTATACAAAAATACTATAGCCAAAAGAGGAAGGAAAGTAGAAAGGAAGGAAAAGGGAAACATGCAGGAGACAGATGTGAAGATGGAAACATAGTCGCAAGAAATACATCAAAAAATGCAAAAGTACACTTCTGTGCAAATATGTACCACAAATACTTTGACTCTAGAAAAAAATATGAACCTGAAAAAAAATTAAGAAATTAGAATTGGGATGAGAAGATCATGCAAAGATGGAAGATGATTGCTATTTAATGAAACAAATTGAAGACCAAAATAAAGGGACTAATCAAGAAATTGGGAAATATACAACCAACCAATTTATTGGGGAAATGAAGAAATAAAACATAGAGCTTCAAACTGAATTAGAGGAGGGTGGTAGAGATTGGGTAATCACAAGGAATGCAAAGAAGGAAAGAAAGATTGAAGTATGTAGAGATAAAATAATGGACCTGGAGTTGAGACACTGATGA